TTTTATTTTCGAAAACTTCATACATCTACAATCTTGAAGATAGGGTTTTTTCCTTCAAAATAAATTTGTTGTCCATAATTAATTCTTTCATTAAGGTAATACACATTTTATTGAAATTTTTAGGAGTATTCGCGCAATATGGCATGCAATATGTGCAATTTAAATAGATAACAAAAACACGATTTTCTCGAAAACAGCTCCAATTTCTTTCTATCTTTTGTTACAGATAGTGCAAAATGTACTCTATAACATAAACGCCATTCATCCCTATTCTTTTGTTTGTTTTTTAATTACAAAAACATTTTTTTACTTGACCCTCACATTGTTAATATTCACATTAGTAACGAGTTGCTAATATTATTGTATTTGTGAGTACATATGTTACAAATTATGTCATAAATTTTTGTTGAAAACCCAACAGTTTTCTGTGAAAATGAACTCAAAATTCGGCACTATCAGAAATGCTCAAATGCCTTTTTTCAAAAATAGTTCCAAATTTTTTCTTCAAACTTTTTCAATGGATAGTGCCAATTACACTGTTTAACATTGACAAAATTCATTTTGGATATTCTTTTTGTTTGGTTTTTAAATTACACAATTTTAGTATCTCTCATACCGTTAATATGCACATATCCAGAAATTTGTAAAATATATTGCAGTTGCAAGTGAAAGTGCTTCAAATAAAGTGTTTCAGAAACTCAAGAATTTTCTGTGAAAAAGAGCTTAAAATTTACAGTAATACTTGAACTTTTTTTTTAACAGCATAATTTTTCACTATAAATTGCAGGATGACGTTTTACTCTTCTTTTATATTTCCTAAAGTTATATTTTCTTTCTACAAATAGAAAACAGAAAAGAGAGAGAAAAATGTTAAAAAAATGTAGTTTGTGCAGCAATAGTTAGTATCTGGCAAGTCCGAATAGACCAAAGAAAAATAATATGAGAAAGTCTGTCATTCTGTAGCACTGGATTATAACATAATTTATTTTAAAAGAAAATATCTTTCTTCAATTCTGTAGTTTTCAAATGTTACATTTCTGTTATATTTAAGTGTTACGTTACTAAGCCGTGACTAAGCTTCTTTTCAGGGTAGTTAATTGATAATTAAAACTTATTGGATTTGCTTTGGCAATTCATTACCATTTCTTTTAGAATTTTTCATGCTCGTTCCATATAAACTAACTATTAATTACTTCAAGTCATTATTGGAACATGAATGGAAGTTTTCACAATATCAATTAATGTGACATTAGTTTCAGCTATTTGCTTGTTGAATGCAACACATTCTAAATGCTCCTGGCATTCAGGTTCAATTCTGTTTCAAGAATATGTGACATCAAGCACATACATCAAATTCTATTCAGCTTCTCACAATAAACACTTTTTTTTTATTTCCTCTGACACTTCATGAATTTTTGGGAGGCTGAATATTTTCCCCAGGTCTTTTTTGCTTTGTTTTCTGAATATTTTTATGTCTAATTATTACAAATAATTATGAGAAAAAAAACATCTTCCTTATTGAAATATCATTATATGAATAAATATGTATATGGATGGAAAGGTGGATTTCAGACTTTTTAGTCAAACTGTTTAGCGGGTTCTCTAACCGAGCTTGCAAGAGACTTGCTTCGTATTCCGCACTGGGAAAGGTTAGCCATGTCACCTCCATATACATTATAAAATCCTGGAAATTATGATTTAATTAGATTTAAAATGCTCTCACGGCTCAATGGCGAAGTCGCTTTCACCACAGAGGTTCCAGGTTCGATTCCCGTAATATCTCCGTAGAACTTCACGTGAAATTTGTTACGACGAAACGAGCTTACATGCTCCATAGTGGCTAGTCAAACTCCTGTGAAGTGTCCAAAAACATACCCCTAACCTTATTCCTTCCCAATTCTGGCCACTGTGTAGTGACGCAGGAGCGCGTAAGAAATAGGCGCATATGCGGAGATGTTATCTGACGGTCCTCTTGACAATTGACTCAGACGAGACGTGACGGACTATGTAATTAATGAAGGATCACTCCAAAACCGCGAAGCGCTCAACGCGCCCCCCACCCCCCGGGTTTTTGAGACGCGTTGCGTCGAAGTTGTAACTCAACGCTGTAACTCGTACAAAACATGCCTGCTATTTTCTATTAGGCAGGAGCAAACAGATCAGGTTATCAGTTTGCCAAAAAAACTTATTTCTATCATTTATTTTGAATTCAACTAATATTAGTAAAGGAATATGTGTAGGTATGCCAGGGCTCAATGCCCGTGCGTGTTTAATACCGCCCAGTGGCTGACCCAGTCATTGTAAGCGCTCTTGGTGGACGCTCCTAGAACTACAGCTCACCATGTGCTCTACAGTCAAAACATACGAGTGGCGGCATTTTCAACTGTCAGAGTAACTACTAGACCATTTGAATAGTTTCCATTCATATGACAATAACTGATGCAGGAAGCAACATTTTTTATGTTTCTGAATTTATTCTCCTTACTTTTAATGATTTGGTTTTTAAATGACTGGTTTTGGGTCTTGAGAACTCACAAGCCCACGACACACCTTTAGTGGTACCAGTCAGGTCATATGCTTCAAAATAGTCTTAATATATAGTATAATCATCTGTAATACTTCTATCCCCCAAAGACTGTTTGAAGTTATTGATTGTGTGAATAGTACCAAGTGGTTAGAACACCAGGGCGTAAACAGGAATATCCTGAATTGATATCCTGCTGGGGCACAATAAGTAGTCGTGTACAATACTAAAAACGTTTTGTGATGCATGAAAGAGTAATAACCTTCCTGCACACAACATACAAAATATATTCTAACACAGTACTGGAATAAATAATTTCACTGCAAGTGTAATAGATGAATATCAATAAGAGTTCCAAAAAGGTAAATGAACAACATTTACAATTAGACAAGTAATTGAAAAATGTAGAGTATAACATTAACTTGCATATGCTCTTTGTTGATCACAAACAAACTTCTGACAGTGTTGGACGAAGGAATGCCAAATGTATTGATTAGCCTGATTCAAGTATCTACGCAAATCTCAATTCTATTTACTTAAATCCCAATGTTAAGTATGCATTGCAGGAAAGACGGGTCAAACAATCAAAGTAACATTAGACGTTAAACAAGGAAACACTCTCAGCTACTTGGTTTAACATGACTCTCCATAGCACTGTGAAGAGATTAAATATTAGGGGGGCAATACCTATAAATCAAAAACAATCCCTAGCCAAATATATAGCCCTAATTGCAAGGAGTAAACAGACACTAAAAGATATGTTTAGAGAATTTGAAATAGTAAAACTTTAGGCCTTTACATCAATGATGAAAAGACCATAATTTGAAAATGTCAACATCAGAAATTGAAAGGAAACAGTAAAATTTAGAGGTAAGCAGTTATAATTTTATAGGAGTCAGTGCCTTCACATACCTCAGAGTGTAGATAAAAAACACAACTAGCATACTACAAAATTTCTCCACTCCTTAAATCTGTTCTTTTGCCTAGAAAGTCAAGTTATACTGGGTCTGACAATTTTCCCCAGCCCCTCCGAAAAACCCAGCAAGTGTTAAGAAAAAAACATCCAACCGTTTTAATGAATTTTTGAAGTATTTCAAATAAAATAGCAAAACTTATAATTTGATGTATCAAAACATTAATTGAAAAAAACTCAATAATAACATAACACACATAAACATGACCCCAAAACCAACTGAAGTTTGATATTTTCCCTGATTATTATGACAATTCACTTCAGAATAGTTTTGAATAATCAGGTATGGTAGATAGAAAACTTCAAAATGAATGTTTTGTTTGTTTTCAAGAAACACATATAACAGGATACTTGTGTCTTTACTCTTAATACTCTTGAACAAGTGCTTTTTATCTCACTCAATTGTATTACACCTTTTACTTGTCTTCTGTCAATTATAAAAAGGGGCACTTCCGCATCTACCTAAAATCAATTTTGAATACAAGAAAAATGTTTGCAAAAACACTCAAAAAAAGGTGCTGCAAACAGTAATAATACTATACTTCGCATTACGTAGATATTAAAATTATTAATGTCAAGTAAAAGAAAATGAGTACGATTCCTATTTTCTGAATATATCAGTCAAATAAATAATAATAAATAGGTTAATAAAATATTATAGTATAAATACTTCCACTGTGGAAAATCTGCTTAACACATTCCAATGTACAGTATAAATTAATTAATTTGTAATATGCAACTCAATATTATAGAAAATAAAGTCAAGCAATTAGTATTTTTCCAAATAAATTTGACTGTCATTGGTATCAAAGAATTATTTGTTTGCAAATTCATAACAAACTAGATTTTTTTGGTTATTTGACATAAATTTATTATATGATAATGTAACAAAAGACTTCACACAAAATGTACATGTGACAACCAAGTAAAAGTAAAATAAAATTACAACTGGAGGGATACATTCTTTCATCAGTGAGTTACATGCGACTTTTTAGCTCTTTCTTTTTAACAGAGAACATTTCTCTTAACAGGACAATTACATTGACAAAGAAAAACAAAAACATTAACTTCAATTATTACAAAAAAGAATAAAAATAAAGTTGTCAACATTTTAACTTCAAATGGTATTTCCGAAACACGAATAAAATATCTCAATAAAAACAACAGTTTACGACAGCTAATACAAGCATAATTTAAATGATAATGTCCGTGTGGGTCTTATGCACAATTCAAATAAATTTCATACGGTAGTTTCAGAATCTACATTTTATTTTGCAGCACGCGAACTTCTGCCACAATCAGATAATGTAAACTAAAAATTAAGACAGTACGGCTGTCTGTAACAGCCCGAACTATATGATATTCCGTAATATTATTAGTAGGATTACTCATTATGAAAGATAACAATAATCAGAAGTAGACTATACGTACGAGAGTGAATATAATCCCCTTAAGAAACCAATGGCGCCGAAATATACGAAGTTATATCATAATGGCCCTTACCTTAACAGGGAGACAAGTACCAATTTTCATAAATAACTGTCTAGCTTCGCCTTCTCCTTCGAAAATAGGAATATATACTTTGTCTTTCACTAAACATAATCTACAAACATTCATAAAATTCGCCGCAGACATCATCTTCTATATCTCCAGACATTAAATGAGGCACCACTATAAACCGGGAACAGACGCCATCCAATCGTTGTAACCAAAAGCAATATGGCTGCAGGTGACGCTCGAAACGCTCGCTCCGCCACTTGTCGGTAGTAACTCTCTCGCGAATGTCAAGCTGTATAAATTGCAGGTTTGGGTACAAAGTATATGATGCATTCATTATTCAACTCATCGGTAACATAGTTTCTCAGATATATCTTGTTTATTTCCAATATTCTAATAGTAAAACAATTGTGTGAATGCTGACGCTTATACTTCGGTTTTTATAACGTGGTGCAATAGGGCTTTCTTAACGATGAGATATCTCACGGCGTGCCGCTAGATATCGCACTACTTGATACGGTCGCGACCATGCGACATCTAGCGGCATTATCGACAAAGGCGCGAAATGTCATGAGATCATCGTGAAGTAAGACCCTGACGCGTCACGTTATAAAAAACGAAATATATAATCATCCACATGGCTCCATCTTCACATATCAAACGTTGCCGATTCACTTTTTCAATGACATTTTTTTATAGAAACTCATCATACGTACACTTCGCGTTACTTACATTATGTAACATAAACATTGACAGCGCGTTTCTGCATCTTCCCAAACAATTATTGCAGTTTATACCATTTGTCTGGATTTTTATATTATTTTCACATTTCGGCGATGCTATTGTTCAGAAATAATCGTGTTTCTGTGTGATACGGCTAATTCCGGAATAAGTCGGTTTATTTGCACCTTAGCTAAAATGGGAGGATTAAGTCCAAAGTAGGAACAGCTCTACAGCGTAGTTCGGACTTACGCTGGATAATGTGCACATTAGTCAATACGAGGTGCTTAATGGTGATGAAGTTGTAATGCTGGTTTACACGTTGCCAATACTGGTGTGCAGTTACGGGTGTGCCAGCACTTAGGTAGTGCTGGCGCTCTTTGCTGCTGGCAATAGCTGTTTACACAGTGCCGGTAATGGCATCCAAAATGATATATTTTTTTCGCTGCTCTTAACTTATGTATGCTCTTTGCGACATGCTGCTGATAGTATTCAGCGTGCAAGCAGCAGTTTGCAAAGCAAATGTTACGTAAACTTTTTATGGTATTCACTTAATTTTCCTTGGAGAAGTTATCTAACCCTACTTTATTTCCAATTGCTAGAAGTGCGGCATTCCTGGTCTCGCGTTCTTTTGGTCTGGTAAAATTTATCCCACAAATTTTCCGATTCTCTATACAAGCGTCTAACATCAATTTTTTCTTCCGTCATTCAAACGAGAAAGCAAAAGGCTCCTGTTTCCCAGTTATTTTTTATAAATAATTATAACAATATGCCTACGTTGATCACCGTGCTATTATAAAGCAGTATACACACTTTGCACATGTTGGTCGGTGGGACCCGCCAGCTCCAGTGTAACTATAGAGGTCACCAGTTTGAAAAAGTGGTGGGGGAGCGCGTGGGCATGCACTTCCGTCAAGCTGGCACCCCCACTTGATAGACATTCAAAATCAACTAGACTATAATTTTGTACTAATTATGAATTCATTTTGTACCACAATTAAAAATTTGTACTCAACTATCAACAATGAAAAAAACACATCCAAAAGTGGGGGCCCTAGCTGGACATCAAGTGGGCACCCCCACCTCTTCAGAAATTCAAAGTCAACTAGCTTATAATCTCCTCCTAATTGTGTACCACAATTTAAAAAATTGTACTTAACAATAAACAATTAAATATTGGGAATTAATGAAGCACTTTTTGCGTAAATTTGTGTTTTTTAAACACATTTTGAGCCAAATTTCGAAGTTGAAATATATAATATAGCTTCGTACTATAGAGATTTTTTTACATATAATAATTTCCAATTTTTATCTGGTCCCTCAACAGAGATATTACAGTCTACAAACGTGTAATATTGCGAGCGGCTCAAAACAAAAGCGTCCCCCATGAGACTCCCACTTATCCGAAATTCAAAATCAACTAAACACACTCCAAATTCCTAGTTTTTACCTTGCAGGATCGTATTGTAGAGCGAGGGAATCAAATAAGAGTCCTGCTTACGGAGGTTCGTGTATTTATATAAGAAATGATATTGATTCTATCTTCTTGACAGAATTCAATTTATATGGAGTTGAAAAAGTTTTTGAAATTACAGTCATACATCTTACTATGCTCGAAACTATCTTACTTTGCATCTACAGATCTCCAACAAAGCAAGCTTTAGATAATTTCATTTTCTTAGAAAATCTAGAGATAATTCAGAACTAAATTAGTAATCTATCTTTTAAATTCATTGTTATATGTGGAGATTTCAATATTGATTTTCTGAGAGAATCCCACAAAAAAGAGCAGTTTCTCAATTTACTGCATTCTTACATTACGCTTAATTTAGGTATTACAGTGAATGTACCTACAGAGAATACACTGACATCACAAACAGCAATAGATCAAATCATAATTAACAAAACCACAATTAGATATGAAATAAAAAGTACTAATCTAGGTTACAGTGATCATGACGCACAAATCCTTGCAATAGTTCAGGCAAAAATGTTGAAAAATACTCAGGATATTTTGAACGCTAGTAACAAAACTAAAGCACTGTGGAATATCGTAAAAAATACCACCACATCATCTCGTTACTTAGTAGAGAATGTTGTTTTAAAGGATAATGAAAGAGAATCCAGTAATTCGGAAAAAGTGGCAAATCTCTTCAACCAACACTTTTCTAGAATTGCGACTGAACTCACGAAGGGATTAAAATCGCAAAATTCAACAGCATTACCTTCCCAAAAAATTTTCGACACGATGTTTATTTCCGAAACTTCTTCTAACGAAATCTTACGAATAGTCAGAAAAATAAAAATATTCATCTGGTTTAGATGAATTTCTGGATTGTTTATTAAAAACTTGTGAACCTGACTTTATACACCCGTTAACTCACATTTTCAATGCTTTATGCAAAGAATAGATCCAGATATTGTCAAAACAGCAAAAATTAAGCCACTTCTTCAAAAAGGGAGCAAAAATGAAATTCAAAATTACCGACCAATTTCTCTTTTGTTAGGTTTCTTTAAAATAATAGAGAGGCTTTTCTGTACGCGAATGGAAACTTTTTTCAGGAAAAACGAAGCGTTTACAGACTCACAACACTGGTTTAGAAAATCAAAATCTACGGAAACTGCCATGTTTTCTTTTCTTGGAGGCGTTGCTTCATCAATGGACCAAAATGAAAGACCCATTGGACTATTTTTAGATATTTCGAAAGCTTTTGACGATAGAAAGGCGGAAAAAACACGTGATTGCCAAAACAAGAGCTCTTAGCCATGGGTTGCTAGTTAAGCTAAAGGCCCAATAGTAATTGTAGACTGATGAATATGAATTTTCATAATGATATTTTTATTACTTAATGTACTGACACTACTTGTGTTGTTGTATACTTTTATAAAAGGGGCCGGGATAATAGTTTTGCGGAAGAGCCCGCACTCATTTAGTTGAGCTACTGATTACATTGTGCAAAACTATGGGATTTATCCGGAAGACGTCAAAAATAATCATGTTAGTTATCCTTTTGAAGACATCTTCAATAAAAACGTATTCCTGCACAATTTACTTCTCTGATAGTTCAACTTTTATCTAACTGCCTTTCAAGGCCCGTCTTCACGATGGAATATATCATGGCATTTCGCGTCTCAATCGTGCCGCTGGATGTCGCAAGCGCACTTGATACGGTCGCGATCATGCGACATCTACCGGCACGACCGAGAAAGACGCGAATGATATTATTGGCGCGCGTTTTCTTGAGCCCTCGCTTCGCTAGTTGCGAGAAGAGTGGGGAGTTCTGGTAATTTTGACGAAAGGAATTTTGTATCAAATTTGTAGTTCATTTTCGATACAAAATATTTTCTATTACACGGTAGCCAACATTTTCGGTTATCCGATTTTGTCTACTTTGTCGTTGCTATCATTTATTCTTCATTCAACTAATGTGGGCAACGGAGTGGGGTAGGTATCCCGGGCCTGAAGAAAACGTGCGCGTATAATATTCCATCGTGAAGACAGGCCTTGAGATGGAGCTGTATAAAAATCGCACTATAGTGGCTGTATTCGAGCAGCTTGCCGATTCGACGCACAATGCGTCACAATTCAGTACTATGACTTTCTGATACCCTTGAATGGCATTGAGCAATGCGCTTAGCTGGTCGAGGGATTATGATTTCAACGCGGGCCAGAGAGACACATGAATAGCAGTCATGCCCGTACACCTTCCCACGCTCAGAGTCAGCAGCGGGAATCCATGAATTCTCGGCTATCCGGGAGACGGTTGGCACCCCAGCCAACGACGCGGCGTCTCCCGAATAGCCGAGAATACATAAGTAACCATGGCCAACTGTTACGAAAGCTTGTTAATCTGATCAAGGCTTTAAAATATTAAAAAATCTATGACAAACACAAGGACAGCCTAGTTTGTGATGTCATTCTATTTCCCTGTATTTCTAGCACAATGTTTGACATCCAATAGAACTACTAGATGTCAAACATTGCCTCTATTTTCACTAGGGAAAATGTGTAAAGGCATCTGACTACACTTCAAAGCATCTACATGTATTAACCATAATAAATATTATGGAAGTCCTTTCTTAGTTGTAACAGCACTATTTAACAAATGGTTCCAAAATGTGAGCTTGTAGTTACTAAATTCACAAGCCACAGGAACAAATGAAACAATTTGTGTTGAGTTCATGGCATCCAGGAGGCACTTCACTCGATGCTAACTAATGAAATGCATGGAAATAAACTTCAATCTTGGGTACAATTTCAATATTTATTTAATAAAAATGTTTTTTTTTGGTGAGGATTTGCATTGCACCAAAATTTCAATACAAATGACATGACTCTTGTTGTGTAATTCATTAATCTAGATATATTGCAAAATGACCCACACCTTTATCAAATGTAAAAATAAGTGTTTTAAACAACAATACAATTTTACATCACACACTTGAGGACATACTGAGAGCCAATACCATTTTGTTTATGACTATTGCAGTTTAATGAATTTTTGTCCGATTATATAAATACATTACCCATAATTTTCAACAATTTATTGTATCTTTAGCAAATATTATCTTTTCTAAAATTGTTTACATCAAATATGTTACATTGTTTTCCTAATCAACGTTATGAAACATTACCAATTATTTATCAATACAACAAGTTTTTTTTCTCCAGAAACATTCTTTTATCACTGCTGTTAAAAAATTTCAACACAGAACATAATTGCAAAGATTTTAATGAAAAATAGTTGTGCCACTACTTTCGCCATGTTCATGTAAAATTAAAATATTTTTCTCTTTTCTAAGACATCATCATATAAATTCTGCATCACTACAATTGGAATTGCAGATATCAAAGAAATCTATATTTTGTAAGAAATAACTCATTAGCAACAAAACCATGTAGTCATAGTAAGTCCAAGTATATCCTTATACTTGATATTGATTGGAATTTGACATTACTAGAATGGTAACACTTCAAAAAAGTGATGTTTTGTTTCTGAATTAAATCCAGTCATGGTTTCCGTAATTTACTCTTGTGCAAACTTTGATAACTGTTTGGAAAACAAGCAAAAACAGCCTCAAAAGCAAAGTCCTCCATTCGCATTTTAAAGATTGAAGCCCATCAATTAAAATGTGAAAAATGTTTCCCTAGCATTACTTATGTAAAGGTTGAACAAATGGACATTTATTTATAAACTGAAGTGACATACCTGGTAGAGTATAAGTGGTTATTTATAACAATAATTAACAGTTTTACGAAATTAATATTCAGTAAAATATGAAAAACAAATTTTGTAAATCTGAAATATTCTACTTAACCTCCACATGCAAAAGCACACTAGAAATAAAAACCACTGAAAGGTATTTATATAATACGGTTAAAAAAAGTTGATAATGTATTTTCAATGGTAATGTCAACGTCATTTGGATATTTCTCACATATATGATATGACCAACTAGCAGTGCTTCTTTATATAGCCACGCAATTTACAATGTAAATTCTTGCAAGGGTGAATTTTTATCTCCTAACCAATTATCATATTTTACCAGAATTGAAACATATTTTTACTTCTAAATTACGTGGTTCTAATGTGAACTTTTATCAAACTATTGCATTGGAAATTAAGAAAAATCTTTTAAGTACGAAATAGCTAATACATATTCCTAAAATATAAGACAAGTACATAAAGTACCACGCACTGTCCATAAGTACAAGGATAACTCCAAATCAGGTATATCTTACAATAGTGTACATAAAGATTATGATATCTCTTAAACAAAAGTAGTATCATTTTAAGATCCATCTATAAATTGTGTGTAAATGTCATTTTGTGTAGTGTGCAACTCCCAACAAGTCTCATTTTTGAGGAGATGAAAAAGAAGAATAACATGTTTAGCATTTTTTTGAGATGTGACAATTCTTACAATTGTTTGGAACACACACACATACAAATAAATTTACATTCATTCTTAATAATTTCCATCTCTAAACCTAAAAAAATAACAATTCAATAAGCAAAACGAAGTTCACGAAATAGAAGGACCTAATATTGATAATGTGAAATATTAACATGAAAACAGAATGATGTATTTACACATCATTGTTTATTAATACAATATATAACGAATCACAAGACAAAAGATTAGATTTTCATGGCACAACACCCACATTCAACAAAGAACTGATCTTGAAAACACAGCAAATTCATAACTATAAAAATAATTTCTGAATCATCTACACTAACTAATTCACACGTCTGTGGATGAGTCATAATGCAAAACAATCTTAGATTTAATAAAATTACACAATACACCAATCATTTGAAGAATTGGCATAGATATTAACTACAATAAAATTCCAGGAACTCTTCAGATGAATTCTTCAGGTTCTCGTGGAGCATCCAAGTCTCTGTAGTGGATCACAGGTCGAAACTCATTAGCACCCCTGTAGAAAACATGTCAATAATTGAAATATGCTTATACAAAAATGTAATTTTCAATTTCAAGATTTCTGTAAATGAAATTTTTTACTAGATGTAATTCATGAGTATATTAAATAATTTGTAAATTATAAGAAAATGTAAAGCAGTAATCCTACCTATCATATCTATTGATTACTAAGGCAGTCATTGACTTGCGATCATTTTCAGATCCAATGGTCTGGTCAGAAGAGTTTTGTTGATAGTCTTGATGTAATTCTTTATTTTTTCTTACTGGTCAAGTTAACAATGTTAAATATGTAAGCATTTAAGAATTAAATTCAATAGTTTAATTTTCTGCCTTTTTTAAAACTAATTCACACAGAAAATGAAACATTTTTGGCCATTATGTAAGTAGGTTTTCTTTTTACCAGATATAATATAAACCACTGATACAAATAAATAAAGTATCAAAAGATCCAGCATGATCTCAAGTTCTCTGACTCATTAGGTCGAGGACAATTTGTTGTAAAAGAGTAAGACAAGACAACATCCTTAACACTGGCTGAGCAATGTCATTCAATGTAGATGGATAGTGAATGGAAGAATATACAAATAGAGGTAAATGAATAGAAAATTATCACAAGTACAAAAGATAATTTTTTAAACCACAAACTACTGTTTAAAATAACAATGGGGAGTTGTACTCTTCCATTTCAAACCTGTCTCACAAAATTTTCATGTTTTGTTGAAAGTGCCGTCAGAAACTTGACATTCTTTAGTGTAGCATTTCCCAATCTGGGGGTCATAGTGATATGAGGGAGGCAGGAAGACTAAAGTAGTAGGACATCACGTAAACAATAATACAATTATATGTGTGTGTGTGCGCGCACGTGCACGGGAGCATGTATAAAGGAAAGAAATTAATTTGATGGCTGTATTTTTTTTCATTTAAAAACTCCATACATGGATCTATATTGGAAAAAACCAAAAGCAAATTGTTTTGGAGTGATAAAAGATGATTCCTCTACTTTGTTCTTAGCATGACCATGGATGAAATCCTTTCACAATGGGAAGACATAGTGATTTGGATTAATATTTTCCATCATTCTACAACTAAATTACCATATTCACCATTATAGCAAGCCTAAACCTATTTCACAAACATATACGAATGTGATAAATTTGAAGAAAAAAGTGGACAAGTAAGCTACATCTATTGTTAGTAGGAGTGAACAAGTAGTTTGAATAGAAAACATGTCATGTTTCCAAGAAATAAGAATAAGTCAGAAAAATGACGTTAAAAAATTGAATTTAATATACGAATTGAAGATTAAAAAATCCTCACACACAAAACAATTTGTGGCTTGAGAACGCCATCAACATTCCATGCACTGTAAATGCACTTAAAATGTAAATACTTCATGAAGAAAACAGACGGCCATTACCCAAATATGCGAGAGAATGTGACACAGCACAACAACGTGATATCTGAACTTCATGTTTCTATATGACTTAGGTGATAGAAAAATGGCATAGGTCAAAAATTAACATTTTTGGGATTAATGAAAATAATTCCAAGTTTCTTTTCCATTATTTTGAACGTTATCATATTTTCCTAAATCTGAAAGTATTTTTTATGCAACTTGAAATCAATCTGGATAAAAGGAACTGACAACATGTTGTTGACATAGAAATAATCACGAATAATTTGATATCCTGTAAGCTTGGGAGTGTGAACTTGGATTATACTGAATAATATTAAAGATAACAATGAATTTTGAGTAAACAAAAACATAACAAAACAATTCTTACTATAAGAATGACCATAGTAAATTTTTAAAATAGCTAGAAGTGATGAATTATCATACTCTCACTGATATTTGTCCAAGACCGACCACATTCAATTTTGCTTACCTTCCCCGATTATATCCACCACGACTTGGTCGCGAATAACTCTGGTTATATCCCTGATTGTAACTGTAGCCACCGGCAAAGCTATGGCTTCCATAACTTCCATGCCTACTGGAACCATAATTGTACTGATAACTGTGGAATGTAAAAATTAATAGTTAGTGCAAAATATTCCTACATAGGAAGAATGCAAACATGCACAGTAAAAAAATCCTTGATGGGACAAAGCTTAAAATAATGTTAACAAAATAGAATTATGTAAAAAATAATAATAATAATAATAATAATAATAATAATAATAATAATAATAATAATAATAATAATAATAGACAAGTATTGCAAATAAACATTTTTCTCTTTTGGTTTACAATTACATCCATTAGAGCAGGCCTACCCAACTCACTTCAAACAAGAGTTGTGCTAGCTCCGGGCTGAGACAGGAGTTATCCCAGGCAGAGGAGTGGTAGGGGAGGAAGATGTACAGTGAGTACCAGGTAGATAGCGTTTTTTGATGAAAGGGCAAGGGGTGATTTAAAGAATGGTTTAATGAACATATCATGTATGATGAGACTGATAAGTTCACACTGACAGGAATCTGCAAATTGTATGCAATTAACACATTGGTATTTCATAGGGCTATTTTCTTAATTACTCTATGTTTAATATTAATTTATACTTAAGTCAACTTACAAATTTCATTAGTTATTCAAGCATTATTCTTTTTTAACACATGTTCTAGTTGGGAAATGACTAAAGTAGTCAGATAAAATACATTCCAATTGGTTACTAACCCACCATATATGAAAAATGATGTTATAATATTTGTAACGCATATAGTTCCTACACCCTATTTTTAAATTTAAATTTTTAAATTTATTTTAGAAACAAATTATCTTTACGTTAATACAAGAAGAGAAAACAGTATAAGGATATTACTTAAGTAATATTACTTGCATGGAGGAGTGTGAGATTTGGTGTTGTTAAAGTTAATGAGGGAGAGTGCAGAAAGCAAAAAAATTATATACATGTTATAAATATATTATATTAAAATAATATAGAGTGCAGACGCAACCTGCAACACTATTATACACCACAGATAACTCTGAAACTTGAACTCGTGTCTCCTAGGGTTTAGAGTTTAGTTTTCTATGCCCTAATGTATAAAATGAGACATTTTTAGACAGTTTATTCCGATCTTGGCCTTTAAGAACCAAATACTTTACCGATTTGTATTTGTGTACATGAAAAACATTATTATTAATAATTTTAGTATATAAGTATTAGTAATTAAAGTACTAATAATTTTAGCAAACAAACAATATTAGTTTTTACAAAAGTTCATTATTATGTTTTCTTTGAACACAAAATTACACATAAAGGGTACTGAGGACAGTATACTAGACTTTGCTCCAATGGTGGTTGAGGTCATGAGACCAGTGTTCCCCGTTTTCAAATTTTGCAGGTATTTCAGGGAATTAAGGCACACACCACATGCTAAATGCACGTATTTGTATATGCTGGCAAATGACGTAATAGAACATTTTTTACCATGCAATAATTATACAGATATATTCTATGACAAAAGAACCTCAATAAAATAAGAAATTTAATGAATTAAGGTGGAATTCCAACCACTGAACGACCATAAGTATTACTAAAAAAAAAAAAATAATAAAAATAAAATAAAATAAAAAAAAATCCTACAAATATTTTTGAAATTATTGAAAATATCAATTAAATATTTGAATGTCGATTTCACTAAAAACTTTTTAGGTAGGATAGTGTGCAAATATCCAATTTCATACGTGATTGTGCTCTGACTTTTGGGATGTTCACAGCAAAAGATTTTGCAAGTTCAACATCACTAATTATGGTTTTAAAATCATTACATCTATTCTTATATTGCTTTTGAATTGTCTACCCCCAAACTTGTGTTTTTGCAAACACTGCCTCATATGAAAGCCAGAAAGTGAAAGAATTCACATTACCCTTATGGCATGGAGCAGGATGGCAGGCATTTTGGAGCAGATGGCTGTTAGTCATTTAACCCCACACTCCCCTCCCAAAGTCATGTCCCCTGCCGCTCAGACATGCCCGTCCCCTCCTTGACATAAACGTAGCTCTGAGCGAATTTCAGGGCTTGATTGCGGGATTGAATTAGGGTGTTTCATGGAGCCACAGAATTAAGCAGGCCTGCTTTTTCTACTCTGAATACTTCTAATTGAAGTGCCATAAATGAAAAGAAGACATCAATAATTATAGACCTATTTCCTTGATGTCAAACTTGTATAAAATATTCTCAAAAATAATACTAGGAAGAATAACAAGAACAATAGAATTAAACCAATCAGTGGAACAAGCAGGATTTCATACAGGTTATTCAACCACTGACCATTTACAAACTATTAACCAACTAATAGAGAAATTCTAAGAATACAACCTCCCATTATATCCAGCATTTATAAACTATGAAAAAGCATTTGACTCTGTAGAACAAATCTACATATTGAAAGTTTTAAAAGAAATTGGAATAGAAGACAAATACATAAGCATACTATCAAAAATATATATAACAAATAAAGCAAGATTCAAAACCGAAAGAGATGGAAGAGAATTCAGAATAGAAAGAGGTGTCAGGCAGAGTGACCCACTGTCCCCCAAGTTATTCATCTGTCTAATAGAGTATTTCATAAGATAAAAATCAAGAATAGAGTGAAAATCGACGTATGCAAACTATCAAATTTAAGATTTGCTGATGATAATGTCTTAATAGGTAACACACATCAAGAAATACAAACTACACTTCAAGAACTAAATACACAAAGCAAGAAAATTGGGTTAAAAATAAACTTTGGCAAAACAAAAATAATAGAATACGTTCAAGAATACATCTTGGACAAACAATTTCCTTTAATAAGAAAAATGATAAAGAAATTAATAGACGCATTTCAGCAGGATGGAAAATATTCTGGAGTTTGAAGTTTATTCTTTTAAACAAAAAAATTAGCATGAAAATGAAAAAAGACATAATTGACACCTGTATTCTACCTGTTCTGATGTACGGTGCACAAACCTGTTCTAGGACAAGGAAAAATCAAAATGCTATTGGAGTATGTCAAAGAAGCAAGGAAAGAAAAATTCTTTGAGTATCTTTAACAAACAAAATTAGAAATAAGAACGCAAATAAAAGATGCAATGCTGACTGCTCATCAACTAAAATGGAAGTGGGGAGGCAAAATCTCAAAGACTCCAAGATGACAGATTAACACCCAGAACTACATCGTGGGACCCACAAATAGGGAAGAGGAACGTTGGTACACAACATTGAAGATGGACTGATGACTTCCGGAAACTTTAGGTCATAAATGGTAAAGAGTTGCGAAAGCCCGTAAGGACATAATACAGTGTTTAATGAGTTATCCATGTAAGGTCCTCAAGGTAGCTGCTTGAGGACCAACTTTATAATGTAAGCCTCCTTGCCCTGTGCAAGATGCCCATGCCCTAACAGGGATTAATGGGCTAATAATAATAATAATAATAATAATAATAATAATAATAATAATAATAATAAATAATAATAATAATAATAAATGAAAAGAGATTACAAAAACTATTCTCACAATTTACTGGCATACTATATGCACTTGATGTTACATTTAATGAAATCGGCAGTTATCTTGTGAAAGACTGCAGTTTTTGAGAACATGAGAGGTTTCTCATTTGATGGAAGTTTAAGGACATTTAAACATCAATGGTCATTGATGCCACTCTCAAATTATATGAATATATATGAACAATGACCAGAGTCAAGCATAAATACTTTTAAAATACTAAATGTATGAAGAAAACCAATGCAAAACGATAGTGGTAAAACGAAGGATACGGGAGAAAGACAGAATACTGAAAAATGTGATTAATAAAATTCACATTAATTACATTCTCCACACTCAGATTTGGCTATAAATTCAATTTTCCCTTAGGAAGCTAAGGTCCATCTGCATTTATCCCAAGTAGGAGGCTAATCATAGCAGAGGTTTCTCTAGGAGAAGTGAACAAATTTGATTGCGCATTATACCACAACAAGAATTCCATGTTTTCAACGGGTCCCCAAATCTTAACATCCACCTAAAATACCAGTTCTGTCCTTTTTGAGTTGCACTGAGAATGAAATGTTTGATAAACAGCTTTATATTATCCATAAGCACTGTAGGAATGACAATATCTGGTTTCCTTATGGCCAACGTGGCTGCCTGGCCAGCTATTAAATTTCCAGTTGTATCCACAGTCAGGGACGAAACAAAAAACAATAATGATTAGTTGTATTTTGTGTTGGCTATTCATTGTCAAAAAGTCACAAGAAAAAGAGGTAAAGATGGATTCCAGAGCTCCTTTGGAATTCTGCAAATTAAAACTTCTGATAATAATGCTGATTGAGCCAAATATATCATAAATGAAGAAACAATACCGTGTAACTGATATCCTTGATATCTTAGAATATTTGGCACACCTGACATTAAAATTACCATTTGATTGCATGGCAAATGCAATTTAACACTTATGAGTTAAATTATATTTCTGACATTATTAATTGGAAACTACTATGGCCTTTGGCATCAGATTCAAAAAACAAAAACTAAAACCCAGGTATATGCGTCACAAAGCCAGTTAAACAGCATTGTTTCTTCACCGACAATACACTTCTCCAAGATTCTATTCGACACCAGCGGGTGGCACTATGGCAATAGAAAGCACATCCTACTTTGCCATTTTGAGAAGCGGCATCAGTGTAGATAAATTTCTGTGCAACATTCAAGGATTTTATTTCAAAAGTGATACATTTAAAAAAAAATCAGAAACTTGATACAACAAAAATAGCATCTCAATCACAGAATCCCATTAGTGTTCCTAGATATTACAATTTAACTGAGGAATATATACTAAAAATTAACCGAGGAAACTGCAATAAATGTACGGTCCTCCATCTAGGAAAAAACCTCTCAAATCTTAATTATAGCACTAAAAGACACATCCTCGTATATTAGTAGATATATTAGACATATATTAGAACTATACTAGAAAATGCTTATGTGGTTTGGTCCCCTTATTATCAAAAAGATAAAAAACATTAAAAATGTACAAGGCAGATTACTAATATTCCTAGAGAACAACGTCAATTGGATTACAAAGGAAGATACAGAGAAATATCACTTCTGACATTAGAACAGAAAAAAATAGGAGTGATATTCTAAACATTAGTCTGGATACTACAAAATTTTGTGATAAATTAAATTATATGATGAATAACCCTCCCCACACACACACACACACATGTACAATCTGCTATTTATAAATTTATAATTGTGATTTAATTATAATATTGTTACTCTTTGAAAGTGATTTATTATATAACTTTATTACAATGTAGTAAATTGTATGTACAAGAGCTTGTGGCTTAATTATGGCAAGAGCCATAATTAATAAATAAATAAAAATAATAATATTCCAGAATATGTAGAAAAAACTCTTGCTCGTGGCCAAAACTTCTGCTTTCCATTAGAGGAACGAGATAAAATGAACGTAGTCTTACAACAGATTAAAGACGTGGAAAAGAATATAAGCGTTTTCCCAACTGGGTTAAAGGATAATATACGTTTGAAGGTAACCAACCAGCTAACTGCATTTGTTAATAATATAATATGCTTACTCCTGACAAAAGGCAAATTCTTTATGATCCAAAATAATTAAAAATGTTTTTGAAAGCCAACCCACAAATCCTTGTCATCCCAAGTGACAAGGGCGGAGCGGTTGCGGAAATAAACAAAGATTAGAAGCTAACTTCTAACAAAATCCAAATTTCGAATCGTTGAAGAAAAATGTGTTAAATAAAAACTTTAAAAGACCTACAAGATTTAATAAAGAGATGGTTATACTTATATTGCATATTCCCTGACTTTCAGATTCACTAAAGTTCATAAGGAACATCTTCCCATGAGACCTGTTGTATTGTTGGTTGCTTCAGCAATTATAATTTTAAAAAGTTAATGAACCAACTCTTAAAACTCTTCCGATCCAATTAAAAACATTGTATTAAAAACAGCTATCATTTGGTTGGAAAATTTAAAAAGTTAGAATTGGAAGAAAATTATAGATTGTACTCCCTTGATATTGTATCAACGTTTCCCTCAATCCCACATAATTTATATTTGAAGCTCTGAATGAAAACTTCGATACAGAAAATTCATTTAAATTATTGAAAGAAGAAATCCTACTAGCAATTAGATTACTGTTTAATAACATATTTTTCAAGTTCAACGATTCTTGTTACAAACAAAATGGGACTCCAGTAGGTGGCTCCATGAATTGCCTCTTTTCTGAATTTGTTATGTGACGCATCAGTAATCTTAAGTCAAAATAAAGTCGAATTCTATGCTAAATGTGGATGACACAATCCTAATTGTTGATGAGGCAAAAACTGAATCAATTTTTCATCAATTCAATAATTATAATCCAAATTAAAATTTTTTTTTTGGAATAAGAGAAAGAGAGAATCATTAATTTCCTTGATGGTTCCATTTTGAGAATAGGGAATGGAATCTGTACAAATTGGTACACAAAACCAATTTCGTCTGGAATGCTTCTAAATTACAAATCATGCCATTCAAAATATAGGAAAGTGGCTGTAGTGTTCAATTTGGTAGTTAGAGCCATTAAACTGGCTGATCGCCAGTTCCACGACAATTTAAATAAAGTGTTTTCTCTGTTGGTAACAATGACTATTCTAAAAAATTCGAAGAGAGAGATGTCAAAAACAGGTTAAAGCAACTAAGCAAGGCACAACGAGAAGGTAATGACATCAAGAAGCAAAAGAGGAAAGGAAATTTCTACTGTCACCGTATATTTCAAAACTAAGTAGCATAATAAAAAAGACGTTAAAGAATGGAAGAAAAAAAAGTTGAAATTCGAAACACTGTTTCAAAAAAGAATACACTTATGAATCACGAGAGAGATAAAACACAACTTACAGAGAGGAGTAATGTGGTCTACAGCCTAAGTTGTGAAGACTGTATTTTGGAATGTGTGGGAGAAACTAAGAGAAAACTGAAGGACATTATTAATGAGCATAGAAGAACCCAATAGGCAAATCTTAATTTCCAAGCACAGGTCTAAGTCAACAAATAGAATTCAATGACCCATGGACTATCAGCGGAGAGAAGGTACAAAGATAGAATTATAATGGAAACTTTACATATTAAATTTCAGCAGACCATGAATTCAATGACTGAATCTGTTACAAACAACTATGACAATATAATTGAAGAATTGCAAGAGAATGAAAACCAGAATCGAATTTAGTTTTCATTACAGAATTAAACTTCCCCTTCCTCTATTCCGCTCACGGCGCGACTCAGATGATGAAGATTAAAAATCTTGTGCTATCTGTCTGTCAAGATTTACTATCACAAATGTTAAATGTTTCAAGTGAATGTTTGTATTTTCTCTGTTAATTTTTGAATAAAACAATTATTATTTTATTTTGATGTTGTTTGGAATAAGAAAAATAATTAAAACACAAAAGAAATAACACTGAATACATGGAAGAGAGTTCTAAACAGATGCTAAATATATCTCAAAATATTACGATTGCTTGCATTTAAAAAAAATCATGCCAGGATGTTACGGATTAAACAGCATCTTATCAGATGGTTTCCTTTCGCAGAACTGATAAAAATGGCAGATATACACATTAAAAGAGCGTTACCTCCAGGAGCAGTTAATGGTAATGCTACTGAAATAAATTCAGAATTGTTCGAACAATGCAAGTATTGGTGGGTAGCTATACTGTAATTATTGTGCATGTTTATTGTTCCACATTAGTACGGAAACTTTTTCTGTTTATATTTTAAATAAAAACAATTTTTTAGTTTTGGTGTTTTCGATCTTGCTCATGATGAGTATAATCTTTTAGAAATATCTAAAACGGCATGGGCAGTTTAAACAGCCGTGGAAGTGAATATTGGTTGCTTTATGCATATTAACAAGGCAATTGTAGGATGTAATTTAGTGGATTACAAAGTAATGCAGAATGGATAAAAATATCTACCCAGACTGGGAATCAAACCCACCATTTCAGTTCTGGAATACTATGACATTGAGCCATTTAGTCTCTGCCCTACTTCTCTGATAACACATTTATATTATCGAAACTTTAAAGCAACATTAAGATACAAAAATTAATATCAATTCTATTTCATGGGCAGGGACTGCGAAATTGATTTACGTCTATACTACTACTTAGCTCTCAATGGATATTATAATATTTTATACAATCTCCAATCAAATAAATTTAATCTTCATAGTTTGCTCCAGAGAACGAAGTTTTGAAAACCATCGTTAGATATCACTGACGACAGGCAGGGATATCCATCCTCTCAGACCAAGGCATAATTTCATGACCATTCTTTCAAGATGTTTTCTCCCTTTCTCATTCTACCCTTATACATCATTATATATACCAACACTCACATGTGCATTCACCATGTATCTTGGCCAATACAAAGAGATTTGAATATTGAGACTAGTCAACTTCATATATCCATGGAAGGTATGAATGTTTGTTGATGAGAAATGGGTTATTATAGTTGCAAGAAAATAGTGTAGAGTGAAAGTTATTGAATGGTAAGTTAAATCATAAAGCACTGAAGATATTATACAGAGGTGAGATAATTAGTTCAGAACATTTCAGAAAAGAAGGTGCAATGATATCTTGCCAAAACTTATATTTTGAGATAACTCTTTGCACAAAATACCATCCCTAGATACAGAAACACTCAATATTCAAATATGAATTGGCAAAATACAATTATCTTAAACCACTCTTACTGAGGCACGTACGGCGCAGGAGCAGGAAAACCATCTCTTGCTTCACCAACAGTATCTTTACGTTGCTGCCTGTTTCCAGGATGCTCTGCTAGTTGAGGGCGTTTTGGATCACGCAAATAGTTGTTGAAGTACTCTACCTGCAAACAATCAACAAACAGGATGCAATGTTGGGACAATAATTGCAAACAGGTGCTGAGCTGGTAGCAATGTGGATGTTCCTGGATGGGAACTGATGAAAAGGGCATGGGTTTTAATTTTGCCTCAGGCATGGCTGTTTATTTGCATGTTGTGACATGATGAGGCTCTCCCAGCCACCATGCATCACCTTTCAATCCTCTCCCTTCCATTCCTTACCACCAGCCTGATGGCACAGGGACTTGAGGCAGGTACATTTAAATTTACATTACACAAAGACTGAATTTATATCGTGCGCAAGGTGTGGATTTTGGATGTTGTGACATGGGAGGAAACACGTGACTTGGTGAGGACGAGCGTGAAGATCCCGACAGGTGTTTTAGGGTCTATCTGCCGTTGAGATAGGCCGTAAGGGTAGCACTTTTAACAGCCGAGGAAAGGGAGAGAGAGACTTCCACTCAGTGGCTTAGTGCGACATTCTTTCCATGGGAAGTTGATGTTTTAAGATGAAAGTGTGATGATTCACACACCCTAGATAATTGAGGATCAATTACAATGAACTCCACAATCCCCAAGCATATTCACAAAGAAGAAATTTCAAATCATTTTTGTTCTTCATTTGACTACATGTTTTGGCTATTATATTATTTATAAGCCCCTGAAATGTCATATATTTTTAATTAAAACAAAACAGGAAACATACACAAGAAAACTTATGTACTTAAACAATATTGACTGGAAATGAATGCAGTCAATGTTAGTTGACGACACTGGTGATTTTGTTTTTTCAATACTAATAATATGTATATGATAAATTTGTCCCCAAAATAAGTAGTGGTGCTACAGAATGAAACAAATTTTCTCCTACCAATTAGTTTTCTGATCTCTGTAGTCTGGGCTAGATTTTCAGTTTTTTGCTCTACCCTCCTCCCGGCTGCCATCTATTGCTGCCTAAAGGGCATTTTCACATATTTTTTTCAATTTCTTGGTCCCCTAATGGTAGAACTGAAATACGACTTTAAGAATAGAGTAGAGTAATACTGAATCATACACACAAATTTTAATTGAAAAATTTGCAATAATTTTTGAGAAAAAGTCGTTTAAGAGTTTCTGAAAATTGAAAATTTGAGCTCCTTTTCATGGAAAACTTTTGGGGGTTTCAGGAAATGTCATTTGATATCATTTGAAACACTTCTACTCATAAATGCAAAAATGTGCAAGAAATACCCATAATTTTAATGTTGTAAAGCTTGTTTTGCAATCCCTAACACTAAATTTGTGCACAACAAAATTTTATTTGAGAATGGCCATGTTTATCAATTTACAATTAAGATTTAACTGAAAATGAAGTTAAAAAAATAAGAACAAAAGACAAAACTGAGCCAGAGAGCTCAGAGTCATCTTGAAAGTCAGCTGGCCTCAATTTACTGAAGAAGGCAAGGGAAGAAAGGGAGTGGGGCCTTTATGTCATAGCATAAGCATTGACCATCTTTCCACATGCCAAATACAAGAAAAGACTCTGAGAAATACCAGGCAAAGGGGTCATCCCTTAGGAAAGAGAAGACAGTTTAATAAAGGTAGTACAAACAACGTTTCAGACATACAAACATTGTTTGCATAACATTGGTTAATTCACATTTTAGTTTTTGTAAAATTGTGATTATAGGAATTTTTCATTCACAAACAAAACTTCAAAAATGTACAACATTGAGTACAAAACCATCAACTTCACTATGTTGATGTTACAAAAACAATGTTCTGACAACATTGATGTTCCATCCCCAAAATACACCACCAATCTACATATTCCTAATGGATATTGGTCCAATTAACAGAATGGTCTAGGATAATAAATATAAATAATAATAATAATAATAATAATAATAATAATAATATCAATTTTGTTCTGTTAAAATGTGCTTTCAAAAAATTAGCTAAATGAGTGAGGTTGATCGACTTAAGTTTAATTTTTGATTTGTATATTTGTGATTAATATTTGTAAATGAGGGTTGTGATAATTTTAAGTGATTTAGTACATTTTATTTTATTCTCTTTTTCTTTGTGATGATGTGATGTGATAGTGTGTAATGTGTGGTTTTGAAGAGTAGATGTAGAGTTGATTGTGGTGAAATTTTTCTTTTTTGATGGTAATGATGGTGTAATGATTTTGCAATGGGCGATGGCCTGTTTGATAAATAAATAAATATACTTCTCATGCTAAATTGCTTCAGATATACGATATACATTTTTCTCGCTTATATGTTCATAATAAAAGTCAAACTGTATAACGTCCGAAACAATAGGTAACCAATAAGTAAAAACATGTTCGTTTATCATAGAGAAACCAACGGAAATATTGTGTTGAATTCAGTATTCAGCCTAGCAGTCGTTACGCATTGAAAGCTAGAAAACACGTGTTATCATGACTTACATTGTAGCTTGAGTTGTGGGCAAAACATACATCAAGATCGATTGTATGACATCTATGACACGCGTTAAGCCACTCGTGTGGATAGGCATTGATGCAGTGGTCATCAGCATTAGAAGATACGTGTGAACACAACCTTCCTGTGACTCGGTCCTAGAGGACTGCCTGCATAAAGTGTGAATATCAGTGCAAATGTTTCCACAGGGCATGCCTATGCCTGGCCTGCGTTTCTTCTAAGTAACAAGAAATGTATTTCAGCTTCTGGATCAATGACCAGTACGTCAGCTTCCAGTCTCTAACAGGTTTTTGTCCAGTTTACGTGATCCACTGAGAAAATGTTGATACAGCCGATTTTTCTTTTGGACATAAATGTAGCTTCGCCTTTTGCTGGTAGAGGTAGGAGGAGAGCGAGAGGGGGGTACTGTTTTCATAGCAGTACAAAAATCAAATCAAAACTGCAATTAGTTCACTAATGCAAATGTTTCTATAACTTAGGAGCAAAACTGTCTACATTTCATAGGTTGCTAATTTTGCTTCTATTGATACTTTTATTAATTATTCAACCAATATAGTTAAAATGTTGAGAAGAGATTCTGGAGCTCAAGAAAATGTGCACAGATGGTCCTTCTTGTCAATTGCCAAACTTACAGTTTTTACTGTTCTTTGATTGAATAAATCAGAACACATTGGTCCAAGAGTGAGCAAACCAATATAAATATATTGAGTTTTTGTTTTGTTCATAACTTTCAATTTTAGTTATGCATTTTTTTTTTCATACATTTTTTCTTCTTCAGTTCCCTGAAAAACCTGTTGGTGAAGGTTTACTGAACACGTTTTCCATGTCCACTTGTGTTGGCACGGTCATTGGAATAATGGATTTTTCAACCTCTGTTGCATCTTCTACATCAGAAGAGACAAAATGTTATTTTATTATGTTATTATCATTAACATTTTTCTCACGGACAAATCGTGTGGGTCCCATTTGATTTTCGCTATTCTTCTGATTAAAAAATCTTGCTCTTTTGTTAACAAGAAATTTCACAATGTCTAAGTCATTTTCTTTTAATTCCCCTTCCTAGCTTTTCAATTTAACTTCATTTGTCTCAAATTCACGTTTAGTGCTGGAAAAATCTAAATCATAATTTCAAGAAGACACTCCTGTAGAGTCAACCTGATCATTTGAATGTTCTGTAATGGCACTAACAACAATTTCTTCGCCAGGAGTTAGTGGCAGGTGTTTTGATCAACATTTGGTTTGATTGTTGGACTTTCTTAAATGTATTTTAAATGCAGCAGCCCAAGATAAATGTGTTTAATTTGTACATGATGTTTCTTCTAGAATCTGTGAAATGACACTTTCTGGACAGAATGGAACTATTCCCGCTTTCCTGAAACCAGGTAATACACTGGACTTAGAACTCATTCCTATATTATCAAAAGTTACCTTCAACAGCCTTGGAAATACAAATTTAGGAACCATGCCATTATTGTTCCTTTTCCAACCATTAACACATTTCTCCACAAAACTTTAAGAGGTCTAAAGAAAGCAATATCAAGAGGCTGGCAATAAGGTAAGTTGGATGTTGTATTCGTAGCTATCTTAATCAAGATAAGTGACCGATGGCTGGATGGATTATTAGCAATAATCAATTTAGTACTTTGTAATCTCCTTAAATATGGTAGTAAAATTTGAATGAACCAAGATTCAAACATTGCAAGATTGAACCAGCCATTCTGCTTCCTGTTGTAACCTGCGCCAGTGGCACAGCCTTCAGTCCAAGTATCGAAAAGATGTATTGCCTTACAGGCAGTGGAGGGTTGAAGCACCTTGCCACCACTTGCAGCTGCAAATATTACCCGATACTGGTCTTAGAGCCATCTACTCTCTGCTCAGAACAACTTGCTCCTTGTTTCACAATATTTATCACTTGACCAAAGTTGTCATTCATGTTTGATTCATTGTAGTTTGCTATATTAGTGTGAGGAACATCATCCAAGGATATTTAAGGTTCTTAAAATAATCTCTCGTAATAGCATGGTTAATAGCTACTCTTGCTCTTTTTAAGTTTCTCCCATTCTAAAAGTGAGTTCCTTATTTCTCATCACAAATCCTCTCAGCCATTCAAGACCTGGACAATTGTCATGAAATAGCTTTTCAATCCATAGTTCTCTATTCACATAAGCTTGAAAAATAACTTTGATATTCGAGTTCCTTAGAGGAATTCCCCATTTTGCACATTATATTCTCTCAACCAGGCTTTCCTGCTGCTCCTCAGAAGTTAATGCTGCTTGGTAACATATTTTATTTTTGTACTTATTTTCAAGTTTGTTATTTAATGTGTATAATGAATCCTATATGGCTCAGAAGCTTTTCTGATACTTAACTTATTTGACTCTACTGCTTCTGCAGCATTGAGACGGTATTGTGGATTTTAGTTGCATTTATGAGTTGATCCTACAATCTTCTTATAAGTGCACATAAGCAGATTTACCCAACATAATTGTATCATTAAACAAGTATAATAATGAGCAGTATTTGCATTATTGTAGATAATTTATTTAGAAATCATAGATGCCTATCGCTTTTGTAATTTCGATTGTAATGGCCACTATGTTGGAAATTGCACAAATGAATAGATTCAGAATACTTTGTCAAATTCACCCCACTTTACAGTAATTGAATAAAAACCACAGTCAATATTATGTTTACTAGTTGATATATTAGTCATTTTAACTAAAAAGTACTAATCTAAAACAAACATGCTGGTTTTTCTGTACTAACATGAATTGACTCCTGTGAATAACTGGTATATCAGCTAATTATAATACAACATTTCTACAAAACTTGTGTATTTCACAAGAGGATATGTTATTTATTTTTGTCAGAGAAAATAAAATATTTGACTCACCTCTTTTTTAACTTCATCCACTTTTTCAGTATGTTTGTTAAATATATGTTTCCTAACAAATTCTGGCCCTTTAAATTTTTTGCCAGAAAGTGGACAAAGCCATTTGTCTTTGGCCAATTCTTGAGTGTTTGCTTGAATAAACTTTTCAACTTCACTGAAACTCATTTAAGGAATGGTATCATGGTAAACAATGTAGGTAAAATTTAACACCCCCAGGAATGATGGTTTTGAACTATTTATAAGACAATATCAATGCAAAGCATCTAAAATATGCTTCTGTTGGGAGAGGAATTAACTCCTTACTTTAGCAAACAGACTTAAGACAAAAAACTGGACCTTCACAATGAAACACCGAATGCAGGGGTTGATTTCAAATTGCGAAATGTGCTCAGGATAATATGCCGATCCGATGGCCGAGATCGCTAAGGCAGTAGTGCCGTAGCGATCTCGTACCGAAAGGTCGCGGGTTCGAGTCCCGCCCCGGGCATGGTTGTATTGTGTTCGTCCTTTCACTCCCTATCATCATCATCATCATCATCATCATCATCATCATCATCATCATCATCATCATATCAAGGAAGGCAACGGGAAACAACCCTGAATAATTTATCCCAAGAAAACTTTTTATGGGTCACCTAACTTCCGTATATGGAAGATAGGACCAAAGAAGAAGCTGAGGATAGTAACACCAGATTCCAACCAACCTCGCATTTTCAGTAAGAATTATGACTCTAAACTCCTGACACACACCAATCATATGCTGAAATATCAAATGAATTGGGATATGGCAATACTCTCAAATTCCACCTTTGAAAGTTTGCCTGGAATGAAACGAACATGAACGAAAATGTTTGTACAGTTTCAGATGATCTATATAAAAATAATAACAGCTATTTAATAAAACAACGAATTTCGGAGAAATCACAACTTAAACTTAGCATTTAATCCAAAAATAGAATTTAATAACTATTTCCATAATAATATAAACATTAAGAAGTTGCAGCTTTACAATACTTTGGCTGTACTATATAGGGAAGAAAGTAAAACACACAATATTTGGAAACAATAACATCTTTACATTTGTCTCCACAGTGCGAAATTTCTCAAGTATTTTTTGGTGTTTTCCATGCGGTCCACTAAAATGTAGAAGGAGAACCCTTTCATAGTCAGGCTACCAACTTTTTTTATCCTGTTGAACCATATTTGAAACCGGTGATGGACCTTCTGGTGAAGGTATAGATCCTAAGATTGTGAAAGAATGAGACAATCTTCCAAAGCTTGTGGCACCATTTCACATGCAGTATTTGGTTCTGTATGTTACACACAGTTACTTATAGTTTAAATATTTTGCAACAGTTTATAGAAATTCCCTGAATCCCAAATTATCTGGCTGCGAAAAATTCCAAAACTTTTTCTGGATTTTCAGTTAACAGCCCAGCAAAATATAAATTACATAGAAACTGAAGTGTCAAGGTTCTATCCATCAAATGGAACAGTCCAATACATTTGACTTGCAAACAAAGGATACACATCTGGGTCTTTAGATCCAAGTTTCACAAACTCTTCATCAGATATCTTAGTGATGGGCTGGAGGAATGATGCAATCTTTTGTTCAAATGTGCGACAGTAATCACTCAATTCTTGAGGTGTTACCTACAGATAAATAAAAGCATTAGAAGCAAATACCTTCTTTATTCTCAAACATTTACAACAGTATCTCTGTATTGAATTTCAATACCAACAGTTTTGTGCTGTAAATGTTCACACAATATACTCACTTTCGATGATGGTGGAATTCCCCTAGCATGCATAATACCACAGCGGTTTGGCATTTCATCTTCATTGGGATATTCACAGTGATTATAATAATCAACAGAGTGAACAACACGGAGGTAGAACAACAATTTATCCAATACCTAAAACAATGTTCGAATTAAAAATTATTTACATTTAAAAAATTTCCCTACTTTAGTTTGCTGAAAGTCAAGTAAGTTTTGATGAAATAAAGTTGTGCTAATAACCTAAAACTTCTCATTGATTTCAACGAAGACAAATACAAACATTTTTTTGAAAACTTGTTAATGATAATGTACCTTTATTAATGCTTCATCCCGATCAACAGTCGCAACCTCCTCACTGGGGGCACCCTCCTCTGTTTCAGTTGAATGCCCCAGCAACTCCTCCTCTTCGGCTGAAGCCTCCTCTATCAAATAATCTGTGATGTTTTTTAATACTGGATTTTTGGAGAGAAGGCCAAAACTCTGAAAAATAAGGACATTTCATGTATAAACAGTAAATTAAATTTCTGAACTCTCAAGAATTTGCAGAGGGAAAGAGAAAACCTGAAAAATTAGATGAAAGTAATTCTTTACGGTGTGTGGGAGATACAGTTACGTGTGTGTGGGAGATACAATTAAGATACAACACAAAATCTTTGAGACCTCAGCATCACCATCAAACTTATCTCTAAACAACAGAAAATCATGTCAAGTGGCCGATACTTCTTGGGACACTCAAATGTAACTGCCATGTCACTGGATTCCACTATTCCAACACACAACACCTCTCTTAAAGATGACTGGTTGTTTTTTTAAAACACCATGTTTGATGAAATTCTCACCTAGATAATCAACAAAACTCGAAAACTAACAAGAGTAGCACAATTTGAGAGTTCTGCTAAATCCACTGAGTCCTCATGGAATGACTATTTGGGTGAGGATGATATCAACGAAATCGAAGACACATTGTGGTGGTAGTAATGGTGGTGATAGATCGATATAGATGATTAAAGAATTATATCCTTTAATGTTTTTTACTTACTACAACCTTTGGAAGGGATATTCCCATAAACAAATAAATTTAAAAAGTGTAGAGATGGGGGTGACAAATGTCCGAAGTTCTGATATTGATGCACTTCATCTGAAATTGGAAATGAATTTGTTGTGAGCTGTTTCAAGCATGTTCCTTTGTAATTGAACGAATGAATTTCGTCTAGGAAATTAGAGGAGAAAAGGTCTACTTTTCGAACATGCAGATCCTGTTAATTAGTTTCAGGGGCAATAATGCAAATGCAATATTATACTGCAACTAATTAAAATATGTTTGGAATTGAAGGGATCATCAACATAAGCCTGATCAATCAAGAAATATCAATTTGATCCTTGGTACAAATTAACCATAGTTCACAAATGGACACACATTTTTCTGAAAACCCCTTAATCTGTATCAAAGCCCCATAAAATGTGGTTACTTACCTCACAATGGATTCTAATTGTATTATGTATTGAAACAAGAAAAATCCACTATCAGTATCAGGGACCTACAAAACTAGTTCTGTAGAAAAAAAGAGCACTATTTCCTGCAGTATTACAACTCTTCCTTTATTCTATCAAGTAGTGCATGGAAAGCAAAATTGATTATGAATCTAAAGATGAAATCTATGAAGAATTAACTTCATCAATACAAACATCACTATTTGCAATAATATAGTTGTTGAACTGGGTTAAATGTTTTTTAAACTTTTAAAGTTTTTTATTTGTTCAAAAAAAAAAATAATTTTTTTTTGAAGTAATTTTCAGAAAATATTTTTAATGTCCTTGAGGTTTTACTTAAAGTAACCGCCAAAATTTGAAGTTTTGCTTCAAATTTGAGGGGCTATGACACCGATAATTTATTTGGATGAAAACCCCGAGTACTATTCTGGCATAAGTGTTCTGCACAATTGAAGACCAAACAAAACTTTGTCAGAATCAGGGAAAACCAAATGTGCATTTCTATCAAAATATAATTATCAGTTGTTTGGATCTTTAAAATACTTTCACTATTTATATATAAAAGTAAGTAAAAACACAAAACAGAACTCACCGGGATGGAGTCCTGTTCTTTTGTACTTTTAATTTTTTCTACTTCCATAACCTCAACTGCTTTTCCATCTTTTGCATCTTCATCAATCCACAATCCACATTTTGAGTCGAGATTGTGAACAATACGAGCTGAAAGTTTTATATCATGTCGAACTACTTGACGATGGGAAGTAATACCATTTACAGTACGAATTCTTCTACTTAAATCTCTGTTGACTATTGCTCCCAATTCACAGTCTCGCAGCTGTCAATAAAAGATAATGAACAATTGAAAACAAATGTTTCACAATGAAACCATCGCAGAATTCTCATAAAAAAGATAACTGAGAAGATGCAAGATCATTAATAAAAATAGAACGATGTCTAGTAAAATTCACATACAAAACTCTACTAATTCTCATATTTTCCTGGTTATCGAAAAAGGTATCTGTCTCAATTTAGGTTTTGATTTTCATTCCTTTTAAGTAGTAAATTAAGCAGTAGAGTGTGTTGACAATGTAAGTAAAGTCAAAACTACAAAATATATAAGTACAGTGCAAGTAATCATAATTCATTTAACCTATAAATCAAATAAAGTGAAATTAATTAAAAAAAATAATGATCTGTGCAAAAATAAGTGAAAAGTTCATTCACATCTTTTAAAATGTAGCCATTGTTGAAAAGAAAAACTTTTTTTTTAAATCCCCAGTTTAGGAAAACATTCCTGGATATTTGTTGTTTTTCATGACTGAAAAAAATTCCCGATAATTCCCAGTTGCTAGACACCTTGTGAAAACCAATGCTTCAATTTACATTCTCTTATCACTAAAAAAATCTCAGCACTACTATAGACAAAACATTACATTCCAGAGGAAAATAAACAGAACTTACCCGTGAACTTACCCGAATGTTGTTAAGATTCCAACATATTTCCTTGATATTCACTTGTCTCTCAAATGTTACCCATCCTCGTCTAAACCAACGCCTTTCTGGCTGAGGATCGGCAATTGCTACACGAAGAAAACCAGGGTATCTCTTGCACATCTGAGAAAATATGAACATTTGTAAAGGTATATAACAAACTTGAGAATCAACTCTCTTGAACTCAGAATTGACAGAAGATGCTCAACAAATATACCAATTTACTACATGGTTTAAATTTTAAAAAACAACATTGTTTTGATTACTCAAAACCATTCTCCCCGCAATTTCATACAAATTCAATCATCCATAAACCATCTTAAACAATTATTAATAACATTTTCAAAGAACAAAATATTAGTATGATTTAAAGTATTTCAAAATCCCAAGGATCAATCACTCATTGTGAAAAACACATACGTTTGCCCTCAAAAACTGGCTCTCCCTCAAATATATATTACATGCAATATGAACAAACAACTCTCTGTTCATCTATGCACAGCACATTTCCTCAGATAATTAAGAATCAACAAACAACTAAAAATTGTTACTCACTGCTTCAACTTCTTGTTTAGTTATTGTAGGAGCAAGGTTACGCAAAAATATTGAGGCAGTTCGATGCAGCGGCCTTGGTTTATTGCTATCATCTGCCTTCTGAGATTTCTCGTCGGTTGCTTCACTTTCCTCAATTTCCACAGTTTCTTCTTTGGCACTATCTGCAGTGATGTCTTTGATTTCAGGTTTCTGCTGTTCAGTGTTGTCATCTTCTTTGTCACCCTTCAAACAAACAAACTCAACATTGATAAATATACTTTTATCCCGCCTGCCCTTATCAATTGACTCTCTTGAAACTATCAGGCATGAAACCAGTTTCTTTCCAGCATTATGTGTCACATTCGTTCATTTATTTACAATATAGTACAATTTATGTAAAGCTAAAACATTCAAAATACATAAGGAACAAGAAAGTTTCTCAATTCAAACCTATCACAAGAAATATGAATTCATGGAATTGAAACTATTTTGCAAGGTCACTTTGTTGACAGGCAAATTAAATTTCCTCAATTGAAGATGAACAGCCAAATAAAATACTGTCTATTACATTATTAAAACAAGCTACACTGAATTAGTAAAATTACCATGGAATGAACACTATCTCCTGCATCTCCCTCATCTTCAAACTTGGGTTTTGTAGATTGCTCTTCTTCTTTAGCAGTTACTTCTTCAGGTTTTTCATCCTTTTTACTGTCTTCTTCAGGTTCACTTTCTTCTTTGTGCTCTTCTAATCCAGGTGGTGGTGGTTCATCATCATCTTCCATATCTATAATTTTAAACAAGGATCAAAGTACTATTTTAGATAAAATTCAATAAATTAACAAGAAACAAAAAAATAAAGTAAGTAGAAATGTCATAAATCTCCCACAGTTTCAATAATTGATGATTATTTCTTTACGAAAGGAGAAAGGTAATATCCTGAGCATGTTAGCACAATCTCAAGTGAAGGACGTTCTGTTAAATATTGCTACATACAAGAATTTTAACCAATTTCACACAAGAAATTCTGCACCCAGCTCGTAGTATAGACAGGAAAAATTTGCAGTATGAAATATCAAAATATGTACATGGTTCAAATGGTACATATGTTTATTACAATATGTAATGAAAACAGGAAGAAGATATTAAAAATATGTAATAATTAAAATACAAAACAAACACTTACATAATTCAAAATTACATTTATAAAAAATTCTTAAAACAAATTTTAAAAATAATACAAATGTTTTAAAACTCATTCGGAGACAAGAAATTGATGCTCATCTTGCACCGTACAACTTTCTGGTCAGAAACTTCATTTATCGCTACTCAGGTTCATAGTTTCGCAGGCAGATCAAGCGCATAGAATGACAGCGCAGATCATGCAATAGAAGCCATCATACTAACTATGGATATCTACGACCAGCAAACAATCACTGCAGTGTGCAGCATTCACAACAGAGTGTTACATGTCAGCATTTGCCAAAGTTTCTTGGAAATTGAGGTTGAAGGTCACAAAACTCAGCGTGTAATACTTTTCACACTTAAAAAAGAGAAAATTATCTTTGTCTCAAATTTACACTTCCTGCCCTTGAGATAACTGAAGCAGGTGCTTTAGACCATGAGAACATTCAACAGCGACTTTGTGTAGCATACAACGAGTAGACGGCATGCAGTTTTATGTAGGAAAAAGGGCTGATTATCTTAAAAATACTTTTCATAAAAACACATGTAATAAAAAATTAAAGGAAATTGAAAGATTAAAAAAATATTTTGTGAAAATAGCAAAATAGGTAATACATCCTCGTTGCTCATATACTTACATATATAAAAATGAATTTGTAATATTTCTAACCAGATGAATCAAGAAAGCTCTCAGAATTTTGTCACTTATTAATCTTTTTACAGTAGTGGTTTTTAAGATTATCAGTTAACACATATTCTTTAATTCCAACTACATTATGTCTCCTCAGGTCCAAGTCTGTCAACCATTGATGGTAGTACATTAGGCGAACTTGTAATTTTATTCATACTTAAATATTGATCTTGAAGCCACACATAATTATGTAATATAGATTTTTCAATAAAATAACCCTTTGTATCTATTATATTGGTTTCTTTATATGAAGATTCTGTGGGGGTACGATATATGTTTTTTATTAATTTTAAGAATCCTCTTTGATTGTTAATTAATGGTACTAGTATAGATTCATATACTCTGCCTCAAGCTACTACACCTTAAGTTATAATTGACCAAAATAAAGCTTAGAATGTAATTAGCAGTTGTTTAGTTTCGAAAATTGATCTGAATTTGACGAAAACACATAAGATCTCTACTTTATGGGCGTCATTTGCGCACATATTTCCATTACAAGTTATGGTCAATATAAACTTCTAAATATTTATTAACTTCATCTCTCAATATATTACAGATAGCCAACTGCTAACGAACGAATGGGGGAAGAAGAGTCTAATAGGCTTAATGACACAACAACTGTAGAACCTTCAGTTGTGTTGCCAGCACTAGCTGTCAAAACATCCCTTTCTTTTAAAAATTGCTCTATAACATTTGGAGAGCAGATGAAATCAGATTGGAACTGCTATACTGATGATACAAAATTATTTGTAAACACCCTGATATCGTACCACCAACTCCAAGAGGGCCTGCAATAAGTACAAAAATTGAATAACGTAAAGAAATTGATGGTAATATAAATATTAATGGTGTGGAAGCACTTTTGATTTTTATTTTGAAACGTCCCAGGGACTCCAAAATTGAAATATCGGATTCTAATTGAAGGGGACGCAACATCAGCCAGATCTATTGCAGAGAAAATCGGCTGAACAGTTGAGCTACTAGAGTTGTTCATAGACAGACAGACATATTTTGTCGTCATTCAATTTTTCAATATCAAGGACCCACAAAACATGGATTCTGGCTACACCACCTGACAGGATTTTTCTCTCTAAATTTAGCAAAAGGATTTATCCACTTTCTCGTTACCGGGTGCTTTAATAAGAGTTTTTCTGCGGAAAATTCACGGTTGTTTCGGACAGCATTACACAACTTTCTCTTTACTCCGTAGGGAGAAAGTAGAAAGGCAAAATAAAGAAGTGTGGAGAAGTGAAAGTTTTAATGTAGGTCATAAAATAAAGAAAATAACAAGAAATAATTGAAGTACATTACCATTTGTCTCTCCAGGTGGAGGCGGTTCTTCTCCACTTTCACTTCCACTCTCATATTCATATTCACGTTTTCTCTTCCGAGGCATTCCTGGTCCGACTAAAGGTACATCCCCTGCACAACATGAAGGGGGAGAAAAAAGCCCCATTTCAGTTTAAAAAATGATCAAAACAATTGTGAAATATGCTAAGGAATTAAATTTCCAAAGAAAGAAAAAAGCATCAATAAAACCTTTACGAAAACAATTTTTTAATAAGGCTCAAAACAGGTGCTTTAAGAGCCTTTTATTTGAAGTCCTATTATTCCTATTATAATTTTGCCGATTTTCAACGCAAATGATACAATGAAAATGGCACTTCCTTAAAATGCAGAAATGAATAATCATTTCTCTTCAACAAAAACCACTCAAAATGAGAAAAAAATGTTTGTTAACTATGCAACTTTATTTTCTATATGGAAAAATGTCATGAGACAGCATTTCGTACCTGGAGACTGTGTCTTCTCTTCATCCCCTGACTTTTGTTTGGAAAATTCTTTTGCTTTCTTCTGAAGTTCTACTTGCTCAGAAGTAATTGTGAGTTGCATTGGTTGAGATACCTCATTCTGCACCTGTTCTGTGTCCTGCTCATTCTCCTCTTTTCCTTCACTGTTAAAAAGATTAATATCCGTAAAAAATTAATCAAATCTCTGGGAGATAAAGTTGGTAAGTGAACGATTTGAATACAAAAAGAAATGTTGGTAAAATATTATTGTTCCCAGTAAATTACAATGTATTTTAGAACCCCACTTTTCTACAAAATTTTAATAACATTAATCCACCCTGGGAATGTGCTTCAGAAAATGAGCCAGATAGATACGAGTACTGTGAAATTAAATGTGTTCAAGAGCAACTCCATGAATGGATTGATAATTAGTGTTTCCAGGCGTGTCAACAACTAGCGTAATTAATGTAGTGTAAGTGTAGTGCAGGTTTTGCTCGGGAGGAGGCGGTGGTTTCCCCCCAACTGTATGACGTGTTCTGGCACCGACCTACTGTTGCCTAATCGCATTTTCCCCAACCAGGTATCTACCAGCAGTGGGGCACCGCCCCAGCTAGGACAAGTTCTAAGTATCCTGGCATGTGTGGCAGTGTAATGCATGTTAGCATAAATGTGTGTAAGGGGTGAGGATTGGATAAGGAAGAGGTAGGCAATATTACGGGTGGTCTGCGGCCCTGTTTGTTAGGGTACTGCTCCGGCATTTGCCTGGTGTTGATCAGAGAAACCATGAAAAACTACCGATCAGAGCAGCCAGAAGCTATAATTCTCCTCTAGATAGACAGCAACAGTATTTGAACTAGCTGACAAGTTAGAGTTGAAAATCCTGCCAGTGTTGGGACTCGAATGCAAGACCTCCCGGACACAGCGACTGCAGTGACATCAGTTGATGCCCTGAGCCATCTCTCTCAGTCGATGCATTGAAGGAACAGAGAAAGTGAGTAAGTGGAAGGATAAGCGAGTGAGAAATCAAGGGAATGAGACATGAGCAAATCGAAAAGCAAACAAGTGTGACAGTGTAGCAAGTAGGGAAGTAAATGACTTGGAAAGACAAGCAAGTAGGGAAGCAAGAGAGTCGTGTGCGCCCAAGATTAAGTAAGACTACATTAGAGTGAGCATGGATGAGAGTGAGAGAGCAGAAGAGTGAGGGTGAGAGAGTGAGCGAGGGAACAAAATAGAAAACAAGAATATTTTTTAAATGCTAGATACTACTGTGTAATGGTTAACAATTACAGAATGTAGAAAATTAATCTTTAAAGAGAATTTTGACTCTTCACGCTATCTTATTTTGAGGACTATTAGTCTTGATTTAGAATCAAATAGCAGAAAATGACCAAAGCAGTAGGTGAAAAATCACAGCAAAACCTAATAAGAAAAATATTCTTGTTTGTACATGTGAGAGAAACAATATTTTGAGATTTGATTTACATTTCTACATAATATAAAGAATGGCAATTTTAATATCACTTTTTTTAAGCACTAAAATTCAATTCACAAGACAGTTGGTTTTAAATCATTGTAAAAAATTAAAAAACACTATTTTTGGAATTTTTTTGCCTTTTTGTATCAAATTGTGTGAATGATATTCACACAAAATCGTATGTATGAAGTGACTTATAATTTACTCACCAATCTTTTGCAAAAGCCTTAGACTCCTCTTCTTTTTGATTTTCACCAGTTTCTGCATTACTTGGTTTCTCTGCTCCACTTGCCTTTTCTCCTTGAGTTCCAGAAGATGGAATTTTGGGTTCATCCAAGACCAGCAAGTCGTGTTCAGTGCCTCCCTCAAGACGAATGACTACAGCATCAAGAAGGCGGATGAGCTGTTCTGACTGATCAGCATCTACTGATACCTTGTCCAACCGTCCATTATCCAGAAATTCCAAAAACACGTTCACACGGTTCTAAAACACAAACATTATAGATTTCAAATAAAGAGTGAACTTGAAAAAACAATTCTACTGGGAATCTTACTTCACTAGTATTACTACTACTACTACAAACGATATTAACTTCTTACCTTCAAGGCATTCATCTGCTCTTCTTTCCGCTTCACTGAATCCTCAGGATGGTACTTGATTTTGAACCTGGGCAATTTCAAAACAAATAAATGAAATGCAAATACTCATGTTTCTGCTGCACACTTAATGACTTTCTTCTGAATGTAAGACACAGACTCACAGCAATGCAAAAATGTGTTGATAAGATAGTTATTTTTCATCAAAGGAGCACAGATAATCAATGGACACAGATAAAACTGGCACAGGACAATGAACGAAACTATATGACAAGAAATATGCAATTTTATCTATAATTAATCACTTTGAATGCATACAAAACAAGACTCCACATTTATTATAGCTACTATATCCTCATTAAAAAATAACATTGTGCTATGCTGTATGCCATCTGTGACCAGTAAACATATACTAGTCATGGTTGTCAAGAGTAGTTTTAACAAAACAATTCAGCCACATAATAGAACTTTTAAATATTTTTCACACAGATATGTATTTTAATTAATGAAAAACACATAATGTGATTTAATAAGATTTGTACTCAAATTGCTAAAAGTAATGCCCTAACCTTTACTACTCATGAAGAAGGACAAGATTAATTTTTGCTTTTTGAAGTAATACTTAAATATCAGAACTTTGGGGAAATAACATTATAAAAGGATCTGAGTAATGAGTGTCTCACCTGCTTGCTGAGCATTACTTTTGTTGCCTGCGTCGAAGTAAAATGATAATGCAAGTATTAAAAATACCCTATCTAGACACGACCCCACAGCAGTGTGGGAAATTGTGGGTCAAACATGTGTACCCGTAACGACCACTGCATTGTGCTCAGTGGTACCTAACTACAAGCAGATCCATTTATATGGCGTATACGCATGTGTCAAAACGAGCATATTGCTGAATTCCAGCGGTTGTATAATTCGAACTTGGTATCTTCTTCCATACTTTATCACAAATTCATAGATTTCATAATCTTAGCACCACATAAGATGAATTATGTCACGATTTCATTTTCAACGCATCTTTGCATAACATTTCACAGAATTCATTTTCCATTTTAACGAATCATCAAGATATAACACAAAGTAAAATATATTCACACATCTTCTGAGATGAAGAGTCCTCTTTGTAACAAAGAAAGCTGTAGGAAAAAATTATTTTTTAGCATGTAAGAGCATGTGTGAATGAAGAAAGTAAGGAACATTCCCTGCCATTAAAAAAAAACAACGAAATGTTAACTTATAAAAATATTACAATAGTAACCGATTAGGAAAATACAAGCAGAAGAATCACAGATAATATGGTTGCCCCTTATATAATAGAAATTACAATACATACATGCTAATGCATCAAACATAACAAGCTAATAAATTAGTTTAACACACTTTCTATTTATTGTTGATTATTTAGAGAATCATTAAAAGTAAACACAGTAAAAAGTGAAATGCATTATCACTATAACAATAACAAACCAACACATACATGAATTATGTATCAGAACAATCACACCCACAGAGTTGATGCCATAAATTGCATAATAGATTACACAAGCTGCGTTGTTGATATACGATTCTAAAAAAACTTGTCACTAAATGCCCACTGTTCACCGAATCAATAAACCTCATGCATTTCCAACACACCATTAACATGCAAGCTGGACCAATATTGATTAATGGTTCTGGAAAGTTTTGTTCCAGAAGAATTGTATGAAGAATTTGAAGTTCAAAATATTCTTCTTTACAAGTTACAGCTCTTTCAACCACTCATGCATTACACTTAGCTCCATTGTAGATCACATATCCACCAACTAATGTTGCCAACAAACTATCAATCATGCATAATTGCGATTCACATCTTTCAATGTATGAAATTATAAAAAAGACATTTAATACTTGAGAAATGAAGCATTGGATTCCAATTACTTTCTCTTATCTATCTCATAAACTTAGATGTACATAACATTTCTTTACTTTTTAAATATGTCATATGGAATTTAATCTAGAAAGGCTGGATACTGCTCATCATATTTGAAGGTACAATTCAATAAATTTAAGCCAAATATTTACTTTTTGAAAGCTTTTTGCCATTTTATTTTTACTTTTGATAGGTTAATAAAGACAATTAAAGTTTTTAATCAATGAATACTGTAATAAAAATTGAATTATGAATTTTTTAAGTAATACTTCACCACTTCACTATTAGCTCGTATTTGAGCTGAACCAAGTCTATACCTCCAGTACTAATGATTTACAGTTGAGTTAAGCTACATGGTCTGTTTTCCGTATTAACAGTAACAACCCACAAACTGAACTACAACACCATGTTAAATCCTTTAAAAAAATAACGTTCAACAATCCTTTGGATATTAAACTCTCACTTTATTGACTTTTTCATACACAAGGAGCCCACTCCTGTAAGCAACACACACAATGGAAATGCATAGCATTAAAATGTTTCAATAATCAAGGTTACGAACATCTTAGAGTGCCACCACAAGCTTTGGATATAGCCTTGTACTTAACGATTATCAACTCTACTAGTGTGAACAATAACATTTTTTAAGATTGATGTGAACTAATACATAATGAAAGTTTATGGAGGGTGGGTTCCAAAAATATTGTTGCAAAATAAGCAAAACCCAGGTGGCTTATACACTGGCCAGTAAGATTCAAATTGAGAAAGTCTCTATATCCCATTTTATTTCTACAAGACGAAGTTCATCTTTGTAACAAACAATGACACTCCTACACTTTTCTGACAAAAATTGCCTTTTATCACATGCTGGTTCGCCAATTAATGGCTATTTTCATGATACTGCCTTCAATAGCTCAATTACCAAAGACAAGTTCTTGGGTAATAGCTCTGCCAATGCACTCTGCCTGTAACAATTTCCTCACTGCAGTAAGAAGAATGGCAGATAATAAAATCAGAAATGCTGCCACCACCACCCCCTTCTTCCTTCTCTCCTCTACTGCTTTCCAAATTCAGCATATTTTTTCACTCATTGATGCCAAACCAAATTAGGGAAGGTTGGTGAGTAACATGTAGAAATGATTCATTTCTCAAACATTGACTAATTTGTCGTGGAGCTGTGGTATTCCTTATTAAAGTTATTTTGCCAAATAGAGAATGTTGGCATGAAATATATTTATGTCTCTAGAGTATGAGAAAAACACACTTTAAATTTTCCTTTTTAAAATACATTATTTTTATGTGTAATTCTTTAATTAAAATTTAGTCTATTGCAAGTTTAATTAATAGAACGATAAAAACAATGCAGGCTTTTTGAAATTCTGTATGACGTGCCTGTTTGCATTGAATCGACTTAATATGAGAAAAACAATAACCTCAACTATCCTTAACTTCTAACTGCATACATTGGACTGACTCTTCCAAGCATTAACAGCTAGTAGTTCACTCATGAAAGAACACATTTCACAGAGAAATGCTGCCTTCAACATTGCTCAACTGTTTTAGAATCAGTCAAAAAAATTATTTATTGGCCTGCACCAACAAATAATTCATAAATTATGCCAGGTCTTCATTTTGCAAGTGACCATAAGGCAGTGAACTCCTTTATTAACGAATTCCATCAGACCAACATTTGGGAAGTTTGTTAATTAACGACTTCCTTACATTGAGTGTTTAATGAAAATGTTTAGTAACCCATCACATTTCAGATAAGACATAAATAATGCAACAAGTAATTTTATTTATTTCTTACCTTTATTTTACAAACAATAATAATTATTTTCGAAAAATAATATTTTTATACTGTTTTTTGAACTCTTATAACTGTTCACTACCAAAGTCACACACACTGAAGATTAGGAAAATTGTCCTTACTTTTACTGGTATAATCAAGCGTGATAAAATAATATTCTATTTTATTAAGTGCATGATTGATTTGCATTCAGGCGTTTCTAAGATGGTGGTGGTGGTGGTGGTTAACAAATAAGCTACAGATGTATACATGGGTAAATTTGTTACATTATACAAATTCCAAGTAGTTGCAGGGAATCCACTCACTGATTGCAGCACCATCGTTGATTTTTGTCATGTGATCGGCACATGTCTTTCAGGAGTTATCTGCGTTTTGCCAAGTAAGGAACAAAAGTTTACAATGCTTTAATAAGTTATGTGCAAACAAATAAATAACTCTAAAGGTTTTGGCAGCAAATTTGGGGTTCCTGAAAATGTTGTTTGTTGGGTTTGCTACATATAGAGAAAAAAACACAAGTTAATAGGAATTGAATTAAAGCCTTATTTTTCGTGGCGAGACTCGGGCCATCAGGCCAGCTCTTCCGTCTGACTATGCAAATTTCAGTACACTCCTTTCACCAATTACCAAAGAAAGGAGGTATTTTTTGAGCGAGAAACAGGCGATTTTAATTTAGCTCAGATGCGTCATTTAGGCTTGAGGATCTTTTACATGCAAGTAAATCTACTAACATGGGACAGCCGGCTTTACTTCCCTTCCGAAAGAAGGCATACGAAGGATTTTTTCCCCTTAAAAATCCACAGCTTCAATTGGGTTTGAAACCGTGAACGTGGGTATAACAGTCCGGTACGCTAACCGTTACACCATTGCCGCCTCCAGGGTAATGAGGGTTACATTTTGTTTTTTATTTAGAAAGTCTTGTCAATACGAAAGATCATGATTAGCAAGTATATTGTAAATTAAATACTCAAAACCCATGAACTAACATTGTTTGTCACTTTCCTATCTAGAAATCCTTCAGTAATTCTGTAACAATTGACAGCTACCTTGCATTTTCAACTTTTCACAACTATACAAAAACTTAAAATATCCTTACAAATTCATTTGTAATCTCAATATCAAATGATTTCTCAAACTATAAAACTAATAACCTAAATTGTGAAATACAAAACGCATTCTCAGAAACATTACATGCAAATTTCAGGACAGGCAAAGGTGTCGTTCTGTGAATTAGAAAAATGTTTTCATACAAGATCTTAAAAAATACATTTAATAACATAAATTAGAATAGCTTAAAGGCTCATCTAGATAAAAATTCACGGAAGTAAATATATGATGCGAGGATGTCAGATCAAGAACTAAAATATATATACAAAGTAAAATAGCAATAGCATGAAAAGCAAAGCCATTACAAAAATACCTTAAATCACTTACAATTATACCCTATTACCAGCTACAGAAGCTTCACAACATGCCCAATGATAATGTTTCCGTTTACAAGTGTGCCTAACTAGAGATATTAAATGTTTATGATCTAAATAATTTTAAATATTTTTGTTCATATAAGGGGCTACCATTTTTATTATGCCTTCCTTCATGTATCTTAAACTTTAAACATGAAAGGCTACCACAGAACAGGATAAAGCAGTTAATTTGCACAAATAGAATAAACATACTTTAACCTTGATTTAACATGTCAAAAAAATAAAATAATTATTTAAACAAAAGGAAGGGAAGATCTATTGCAGTTTTCAAAATGGCCCTAATATCCCCCTCGAACACAATATTTTAAAGCAGTTCAACATCTTCACTAATAAACAATGAATATGAACCTCTTTTTGGGAGTCTTATTCAAATAAAAAGAAATAGGACAAGGCAAGTGTTCCCAAAAGTCAAATTTATAACTGGGATTTTAAGAAAACTGGGACGCTATATTACAAACAAAAAATATTTCACACTTCCAACTCTCCAATTGTAATAAAATGTAAAAATAAAGAATAAAAAAATACAGAAAACTTTAAAAATTTGTCACATTTGTTCTGTACCGATCCCACTTTCAATATACAATTCACCAGTAATTCATGGGGTTTTTAATCCACTTTTTACAACCTATTGCTTCAATACTGGGGTAGATATATTAAAAGGTTAAAATATGTTCATATTCCAGAAATTTTCAGAGCAAAAATTACCATTCTTTATACTCATTGTTTTAATACATTTTATGAAACACATTGCTGAATAATAGTCCTGCCAAGGTCTCAAAAAGAAATTTAAAAAAATAATGCAAGCTTGCTTCTCATGCAAAATTCTCAAAAGAGTAACTTAAAATTAAACAAAGAGGTGAAACCTTAATACTTCTTTCATGAGAGTGTGCTACACGCTTGGCCACACTTCGCCTTAAAACCCAATTCCTCTCCTTCACCAATGTCTACCTTTATCAATTTGTACCAACATTATGCATATTCCACATGTAAATAATGGAACCATCTCACTAGTTCTTTCAGTTTTCAATTCATGGGATGTCCGTGAGGGTCTTCAAAGGGCAACAAATTGGATGTAACACTTCTTATTAATGTGCATTGTGATTACTGTTAAAAAATTCACAGTTGAGCATAACACGAATGACATTGTGATGCAATTTTCTAGATCCTATTTTCAGCCCTCAATTTAATTTCCAGAAAAATAATAAATAAAAAGCTAAGGAATTTAGGGAAATGGAGTAAAAGTCCTATCAATAAATGCCACTTTTGGGATGCCTGAAGGTTTAAACCTCAGCCCACTACTGTTAAATATTTTCATTAATGTTATTAAAATCCAACCTCTTGAAAAGCCCATTCCTGCTTTTTTGCCATGACTGTACATTTTATCACTAAACAAATAACATTATTGATTATAATTTACTTCAGAATGATTTAAATACACACTATCAATCTGTAAATTAAATGCAATATAAATAAATTAAAAATTATAAGGTTTGGTAGAAAGAAAAAACAACAAAAATATGATTCCAAACTATCAGTTGTAACTCTTCAATACGTGACAAACATAAAGGACCTAAGGAGTTAATTTGATAACAAATTCTCTGTTACAAGTCATATGGATTATATTGTTAGCAAATTAACACTAGGTTTTGTGAAATGCAATAGCCAAAAATTTACAGTAGCATCAACTAACAAATGTTACCTCAGCAAAACCAATTTTGATGTTTGCGCCAACAAATTTCATCTCCACATTACAATTCACATTCAAAGCTTAGAGATGATGTTCAATATATATTCTTTAATTATAAATTCTTCAAAGAAATTCCAAACCCATACCTCACATGACTCAGGAAACTGCAACCTTAGCGAATCTTACCACCCTTCAATCACATTCTAGCAACTAGTATATTACGTATATAGTAAACGATTTTAATAGTCTCACACTAAAATAATTTTTTATTATGAACTATATAACTTCTGAGAAGTTATGTGTTCACTAAGTAATCACATAATTATCAACTTCTGTATTTACTCTACGTTTCTGCCTTTTAGACGTGCTGGAAGGAGTTTCACTTGCATTCAGACTCCTTTTTCTTCATTTTCACGATGCAAAGAATACAATCTGATATGCTGCTTTAATTTGAAAATGCATCTTTTAAATTTCCCTTTACACATAACTATTTCATTTAATGTTGTAGCAAATTTGGTAACAAATTGAACTTTACAATACAACAAAGTCATCAAGTCAAGCTTCTACATTATGTGTGATTGTTTACAAAAATGCATTAACAAAATTTGGACTATCACACAAAGTTTTATTAGCACCTGCAGACAAAATTTCCTTTGCAAGAGAAAACAAAAACTGGCTTTCTGACAAAATTACAACCAGAGATATAACAAGTTGTATGGGAGTGATTAAAGTAATATTGCTGTGTGACAGGTGTCACTGCAATTTTTTAAAATAAATTTCATACACTTATAGATGGAATATGTCAATGAATCTAACCTAGAAATGTTATAGAACATATTATTTAATTATGCAAAAAAAGAAAATTCCATTAAAGAACAAAAACAAAAAAAGAAACAATCAAACAATGCCTACCGTCTCACCTATTATATCTATATCCATTATATTAATTATTATGTAACTAAATTGTAATTCAAGTGTAACTCATATTCATTCATATATTTCATACACTTATGTATTCAAATAATCATGAATGTTCTAATCATTCATATACATTATTTGTATTGGGCTTTAGGCAAGTTGTGGGTTCTCCCTAAATTTATATTTAAAAAAATGTTTCATGTAAAAAGTAGTATTTACTATCAGAGGAAAATTCAGAAACAGAGCAGTACGAAAGGCTTAATAACAAAGACTGTCACTGCTATCCAGTGTTTTTAATTCCCATTGAAATCAATACATAGTCTCTGTCAAACATTCTATGAATTATTAGTTTTACTCAAAAGTAGTAAGTATAACTGTATCAGGAATCTTACATTAATTTTAAACACTAATAGCATAATTGCTAACCGAGTCTCAATGAAATGTTTCACTCATTAGCTGAATGGGTTAAAAACCTCTTGAATCATCTATTCACGAAAAGTTGCTTTTAAGATGCATCAAAGACTCATTGTTAATAACACACATCTTGAAAGAAGCTTCATTAATCTCGGAATTGTTGACGTGCATGAAAAACACAAAAGGTAAGTAATGTATTTTTCAAATCGTTTTCAAACAAATGATCTAGTTTCTTCCTTTTGAATTTCACTTCTTTTCAGAACGCATAAGCTGAACCAACTAACAAGTGACAGTGAATCAAAATGACAGTGAAATAGAGTAATCATTAAATAATTAATTATTAAACAAAATTTAGTTAGCAAAGAATGAATGAGAATAGCGCATGAGAAGCAAATGTATACGAAGCGCAGTCAAAGCTAAAGCATAATTACCAGAAAAGAGCAAACTAAAAAATTAAAAATAGTTTACTATTAATTATTTGTTCTAAGTTAATTAACCCAGAGTAATGAATGAAGATTCTAAATGTACACTCATTATTCACAATTAACTTTGACACAAGGATTGTGGGAATCCTAACGAGGTGTTCGCGTAATAAATGGTAAAATAACTGGTCATCTTTGTCAACATACTAGTTAGTAATAATTTGATGAAGATGACTTCAGTTATTTCTCCATTTAACTCAAGATTGCAAATTTTTAATATTTTAAAAAGTTTATTTCACTTGTGCTTTATGTGAACATGGTAAGTTGAGTGACAGCCTGTACCCTAGAATATTTAATCATTTTGTTCAAATTCATTGAGTACCTGACAACTTGACTGTAACAACTCTGAATGTTCATATCGTATGAAGCAGACATGGGCTGTATAAGAACCTTCATATCCAAATACACCTCAAAATTATGATGTTTTCGTTTGATGATTATGTTTTTATTTTCTCTTTTCCAGAACATGACCAAGAATTCTTGGATTTCCTACGAGGGTCACAACAGTATGATATCAGGAATTTGTGGTGTCTGTCAAATGTTGCCTTGGGAAAATGAAAACCCAGCATGAAGCAAAGTGATTCCAGCTTTAAGTTAGGAGCCTTGCATAGAAAACCGACAGGTAATCTTGCAGTTTATTATGTGTACCATCAAAATGTTTGAAGTGTTTTCACAAGAGGGTTTTGAAACTTCCCTTATTAAGTTTCAAGAAGATTCCACCATTGTATGCAATACATTTGGGAATTTTGGCTGTTGTTCCTTTTTCACACTCAAAAACATCCTTAAAATCATAAGAAATGTATGGGCATTGTATCGAGAAAAGCTGAAGGTGTTGTGAAATTAAACAGAGTTCTTCAAATAGATTTTGCATATCTTTTTACAAGTTTTCTACAAAAGTAATTAGTAAGCATCCCTTAACATTAGAAAATTACTAAAATAAAACTGAAAGAAATAATGAATAAATATTATGGTTCAAAACATTTATAGAATTATCATGAGAGGAGAGTTGAAAATGGTTTCAGGACAGGGGCAGAGCAAAAAGATGCACTTGCAGAACAATGACTGTACTGTACAAAGAAAGTTAGATTCATGTTATATCACTCAACTTTTATGACCACTACATCTTGGCAGGAATATATTCTGTGTAACATGTAGGCAGTTAAGAACTATCAATACTATGCATATCAAATAAAAGATTAATTGAGTAGTTGCCCTCATTAGGGATCTAACCAAAAAATTCCAGAAATTGCTATTATCATGAAAAAGTGATTTATGAGACTCAAAGCAAGGTCTCTTATACTCGGTTCAGTTCAAAATAGTTGATAAAGATATCTTTTTATTCAAAAGTTGGGCTTCCGGTAAAGAGTAATCTAACCAGTCTCTGGATGCACCTCTCCCCCTCTGACAAGAAAGTGAATGCTAGCTTGTTATTTGTATTGTTTAGTGCTGTTCAGCCCCTACATAAAGGTCATAAAATAAGGACAAATATTGAGGAACGGAAGGTTAATAGAAACAAGAAATGCTGGACATTCCTACAAAAACAGGAATGATCATTTAATTCCAGGAAAATGTACATCTGAAAAAGTAGTGGAATAGTGATCTAACAGATTTCTGTATAACAAACTATTTAAGAAATTTTCAGATAAGATAAATAAACAGAAAGTGTAAACTGCTGCATTCTAATGAAAAAAGTTTTAAACTATTATTCTCAAACTTTCTAGTGAGTGGTACAATTTTCTACCCTGCGATAAAGATGGCTTCACACGCGTAAATGTATCCCTCTGGTACATTGAGCAATTTATGAAAATATCTTTATATATTTATGAATATTTTTGTTAAAAAAAAAAATTAAATTAAAATACAACAAACATTACCTAAAATCTGACATAAAATCTTTCGTTTAGTGTAGACTCCTTTTCTGAGGTTGGTTTATTTTACAGAAAACTTTTTAGGGCTCTCCTGGAAAAAAAGGTCTTAATTGTTTAAATCCCTCCTCAGGACAACTACTCAATTTGTGATCAACTGAATGAAACGTAAGGAATCTTCACTGGAATCCCTCTATGAACACATTGTTTTGAAGATCAAGTTGTGAATGTCCAAATACCCACACAAAGCATGGATGATAACTTTCAGAATTACATTATGTGACACTTTAAAAATATTAATTAGAATGAAATATTTAAAGATATGGTACCCACCATTCCTCTTCTTTATGAGTAACAAAAAACTCATTAAGTTGTTGACGTTTAAATTCAAGTTTATATTCATTATACTTCTTAATAGCCTCATCATCTGTTATGTTGTCATCTTGAGTTTGTAAAAATGCTTTGAATGACATCATTGGAGGCTGAGTATCTACATTTTGCAATTCACGGCTACTGTAAAAAAAATTGGATTTTAAATACTATAAATTGGATAAGTCTTCTCAGCATTTTGTTTCTTCAGATTTTACGCCTTGACAGATTTAAAATATTTTATTAACTTTCAAACAATATAATAAATATTTGTAACAATTTGTTCAACCTCACTTGATTATTGTACGCATGTATGTTTCCGGTGGAAGATGTGTCATATATTTTTAAGTCAAATTAATTTTTTTTTTATTGATTAGTCCACATGTCATGTGTGCTAAATATCCATCCACTGTTGCGAGTGCTTGCATTTTTTAACTATTCTTTCTTTATTAAAATTTAGGAATTTTTAACATTTTCTCTCTTATTTCAGTAGGGTAGGAATTTCATATAAATTTCAAAACGTAATTTTGAGCTTGAATACGATTGCATGTGTTTCAAATTTTTAACTTACCTCTGACTATTTCCGCTATTCCCATAAGCATGCTGAGAGTTGTAATTGTCATGACCCCATGAACTGCCATAGTTCCCATAACCACTACCACTTCCATCATGGCTGTAGCCTGATGCTCTTCTGTCATCCCTTCAAAATGGAACAAACATTACACACTTGTACAGCACGTATATTTGACAATGATGTTTCATATAAATCAATTTACACTACAATTAATTGATTAAAAATGTGAATGTCTCAAATTCAATCAATATTTTTAATTAATAAAGGGACATGCAGGTAAAAGCATTTTCTTCTGGGCAAAAATTGGGCCTTTTAGTAACAATTTTGTGTCTTGAGAAGCTTATCTTTGTATGTTTCTTAAAACTTATCTTTGTAGATACTAAATAACTTTTTTTATAGATGTAATAGAATAGAATATCAGGTATGAGAGCCCACGTGAATCTTTGATGCAGAATTTTGGCCTACAATATCTTAAACACTCTTGTTTGATCCTTTTCCAGTTAATTTGTCCCAGGTTTGTTTTACAGAAGACAATGCTTCTGACACATTGCTTCAAGAACAGTTGAAACCCACCAAACTCAAGGCTTCGTTTAATTTGAACAAATATATTGAAACCAAAAATATTTTAATTTATCCTGAAACACCTGTTAATTACGTTAGGGACAAAAGTAATAGCCGTTTCTTTTAAAAGAAGATATTTAAGACAAAGAAAAAATTTTAAATTCTTGGGTGTATAGAACAATCATTGCCATGGATTTTTCAATTACTCTCAAATTTTTATGAGTTATATTATATTCTTTTAGAAGTTTTATCGCTCTCAAATTACCAATACCACATTTTTATTTCTTAATTCTTACGTATTCTTATGAACCTACCATTCAGTTCTCACACGTTTCATAGGTGGTGATATGTCATGTGCTCGTGCTGGACTGTAACGTTCTCTACCTCCACCACCTCCCCGGTAATCCCTGTAATCTGTTCTGGGGCGATTTCTGCTTCCCCAAGAATCTCTGGAAAATAAGACAGAATAACAGTGAAAATTATAATAATTAAAATTTTCTTAAATTTCTCTATTCACAGTTTATCAATGCAATCGCATTGAAACATTACATCAGAAAACAGACAATGCTGTTACATAAGGTAGAATTATATAACACATCTGAAGTGTACTGTATCAATAAAATGCAAAAGAATTTAGTTGTGCTACATCACATTCTTTCTCGCATTCTCTATATACACTGAAATTTCTAAAAATTCAGAGACTTCAATAAATTTTGGACCTGCCTCGTTTTTACGAAAGAATTTAGCACTATCAGAAAAAAATGTAAAAACAAATTGGGGCAGTTTTGAGAAATTTAAAAAAATTATCTTTACTCTTCTTCTTCACTTCAAGGAATAGGTATATACATTCCGTGTTCGTAATATTCCTTTTCATCATTATAATAATTCTCCTTGTTATCATTATTATTGCTACCGTTTCTTAGGTCTTTCAACATCTCTTTTGCCAGTGGGTCAATAGAGCATTGCCAAATGGGGATTCTACTGGTGTCCACTATTCGTACATGTTGTCTCCATGAACCTTCATATTTTTCTCTTTCTTCACTTATGTTATAAATGTCAATATCGTTTCAGATATCTTCATTTCTTACGAGATCATATTTGGTGCAGACTAACTTTTCTGCGGAATCTCATTTCAGCTGCTTGGATTTTACTTTAGTCTCTCTCTAATTATCCATGATTCACTGCCAGGGTTCTATTTACAATTCCACATACTGATTGAAATTATCGATTTTATTTTCAATATCCCTGTCGGCATCATAACTTACTTCACATCCAAGATAGTTAAAATGAGAAACTTGTTCTACAGGAGTACCATCAATTACTATTTTTTAGGGCATGGGGCCATGACTTCAGTTTTCCTTCTGAAGATTCTAAGATTATATTCTTTTTCTCCAAGTTTATGTAGCTTGTATGTTGCTGTTTGTAGCATTTCTTCAGTTTCTTCTAAAATTATTAAGTCATCAGTAAATAACAGCACATTTAAAAAATGATTTCTACTTAGTTGAATGCCAGGGCTGATGTCAAGTTTTCACTTCCGAATCAGATAATTTATGTATATATTAAATAACGTTGGAGACAAGCTACATCCAGTTCAGGTCAGGTAAGTGTCAAGTGCAATGCGGATTGAATGCAATCAGTGCGCAATGAATAATTGGAATCGGCTAATGTAGTTTTACAGACACTATGATAAATGTGTTTTTGTAGTAACAATTCTTTAACTCATTTGAATATCAAGGAGGAAAACTTGACACAAGTTTGATATGTCTAGGAACTTAAATTGAAATTAGAATATAAATAAGATCATAAAAATATTGAACAGCTAAGTCAAGTGACTTAGTTAGAAAATAAGAAAACCAATCAATCATTGATAATTCTCAATTAATGTTATAATAATCAGCCCCATCAAAGTAAAAACTGATTTCTTTGCTGTACAATTCACGAAAATGTACGTAATTTCAAATAATTCTATAGGCGGATGATAGTTATCACACGGAAGAATAGAATAATCTAAAATATTTGATATTGCATTAATTTCATGAACGAATAACAGATCCAGTGTCTCACCAAAGAAATTTCAAACTGTACGAGTCTGTATAAGATTTCAATTATGTATCATATCCAGTAAAGTATAACCATAAATTTGACGCATTCACTTATTCACAATATGATCTGGAATCAGTATGGTGCCACTTGATGTGAGGGATTATTATGTTAACATATTAAAGGAATATATTTTTTCAGGGTTATGCCCAATATTTTTGTGTTAAACTTTCTACTAGAGATGATGTTGAGCAACTTCTCTTGACCTACTGATGCACCCTTTCATACCCCTCGTTGATATGAGCTGATCCAGACTAGTTGTCTTTGCACTAGCCAATTCATGCAGGCAACTTGTATTTACTATGGACAAATCTACCAAGCACACAAATATTACTTACTGCATTTTTTCACATTGAATTTATATACAATGAATATTAATGCAATAATCCATTTGGTATACTCCTTTCATTTCTTTATTGTACCTCTGAAATTTTTATTTCTTTAACTGCACCATTTGTTAACTTTATCTGGCAGCAATAACATTGTTTGCAAAATGCAATTCCACTTTATTTTGAGAAAGTGGTATTCTTCTTCAATGAGAGTTGATTCAACAAATTCGACAAACATCAGATCTAGACCCTTGCATTTATTTTGCAATCAAAAGATGAAATTTGGGGCAATTTAAGAGAAAAGTTTGAAAACATCATTGGGATTTAATGTAAAGAACTCCCCAAAATCAAACCTTTTAATATGAATTTTTATATTAAAACAAACTGCTGTTTTTTGCTGTAGTATTACACTATTTTCTTTATACTAATAAAAAGTATGTGAAAAAATTAAAATTAGATTATTCATCCTTACTAAAACTTAAAATTTGAATATTTGAGAAGACGCAGGTCTTCAAAACCTCTTAAAATAATGCATGACTATATTTTCATTAATACTTTTTCCTACAAATCAAAATCTTTGTAAGAAAATTACATAAATATTCACAAATTTAAAACCATAAATAAGTATTCTGTTTTTCATTATACCTTTCCATCCAATCTTCTCGTCTTCTATCATCACCACCACCTCTACGTCCTTCTCTTGGATACGATTCAGTGCGTTCTCCTCTGAATTTGTCACGCCTTTTTCGGTCATACTCATCATCACTATCGGCCATATTTTGGCAGAACAATCAGCTAAAAATGAAATGCGTAATTAAATTCATGAATAACAATAATACAAATATAAAATACTCCTTTTATTTAGAGTAAAATATGCACTAAGAAAAAAATATCGAATTACAATATTTACTTTTTTGACCAAATTAAAAATGGTTTATAAGAAAAACAATCTCAAATCAGAAGTACGTTCGTCGATATGTTTTAATGCGACAGAATTTCTTTAGCACACACAGCTGACAAATTATCAAAATCATCAAATTACAATACCAATTTTTCTACTCTTCCAGCATAATAGAAACGAAGAACAAAAACGAGAAATTATGAAGCATTAAGGAACTTCTGGCACGAATTCAGAAAGTATAAAAAAAACAAACAATTTTCATAATTAGATAGATAAAACCTTTGAAAACGACACCGGCTCCAGAAATACAATATCCTCCGCAATTTACCAAAGGAATCTCCATCCGCAACAAACCATCGGTTCATTGCAGTACTTCACTTTCAGTAAAATATTTATACATTAAGTAAATTAATGACAAATTACTAGAACATGTTATAAGAAGTCGTATGAATCAATATTTACATCAAATAACTGCCGCCGGAAAATTCTGTTTCCAAGTACAAGCGTTAAGATGGATTCTGGAAACACTCGCAAGAACAAACAACTGAACTGTTTTGCGTAATACGATAAAAATTATCATTTAATTCACGCTCAATTGTCAAAAAATACAATTTATCCACTTATCAGGAAACTCCCGCGTCGCATGTCCAAGATTCAGCAAAAACAAGCATCGATCCGAATAATGGCTAAAATCCTCAGAAGAGCCAATTAAGTGAAAATGATTAAAACTCTCTGAACTTGTAGCAAAAGCGACACTAGCGCTCGCAATAAAGACGAATCTCTGTTAGAATGCTTGCATCTACCTGCAAAAAAATGAAATAATGATGTTGGAACGATACATACTTTTTTGTATTATTTTCATTACTATAATATTGCAACGTGTATCTTACAAACAGAAACACGAAGTCTACAGGAATCCTGAAGTCTTCAAATAATGCAGCCAGCTTTTCCAAACAAAACGCGGGAGATTTCAAACTAGTTGCTTGGCACTAGTTACCTATTTTCTTAGACCACTATACTTTGGTTTTTATAAATTGGCGAATGAGTATTATCCACTCACGTTTTCTTGAGCCCTCGCTTCGCTAGTTGCGAGTGGAGTGGGAAGTTTTGATTATTTTGTCGAAAGGAATTTTGTATCAAATTTGTATTTCGTTTTTCGATGCAAAATAGTTTCTATTACCCGAGAGCGAACATTTATGGTAATCACATTTTGTCTACAACACTCGTTGCTATCATTTATTCTTTATTTAACTGATGTTGGCAAAGGAGTGGGGGTAGGTATTCCGGGGCTTAAGAAAACGTGCGCGTATAATACTTGTCTTTACGATGGAATTATAACGGAATTTCTCATCCTTCTCGGTCGAGCCGCCAGATGTCGCATGATCGCCAGCACTGCTCGATACTGTCGCGATCATGCGACATCTAGCGGCCTGATTGAGAAAGACGCGAAATTCCGTGAGATATTCCATCGTGAAGACAGGCACTCATCCGCCAATTTGTAAAAAATCCATACAAATATCGTAAGACAATCGAGTTCAAGTCATTAACTGGCAGCAGAGAGTATCAGAGCATAGCAGTGAATCCAATGAACTATGAGGCGGAAAAATACAACACTCACATCATGTGATAAAGTGAAGGCGATTGAATTACATGAAAAAGAAAAACTCTGGGTGAGGGAAATAATGGTGCGGTATGGTTGCGGTAAAACTCAAATTTTTGACATTTAAAAAAATTAAGAACGCATTATGAGTGATTGCTTTAGGGACAACAATGGTGACGTCAAGCGAAAACAGCAAACGATAGGAGAAGAAGAACTGAATGAACTTTTGTTCGAGTGGTTTGTTAGTGCCCGTTTGAAAAACTTGCCAATTTCTGGACCCATTCTTCAGAGCCAAGCCATTCAACTGGCAAAAAACTGAAGAAGCCGGAATTCAAAGCTTCAGGAGTCAAGTGTGGAGAAGCGAGTGACGTAAATGTGACTGTAGTTTCCGAGTGTCAAGAAAATCTAAAAGAATTAGTGAAGGGATTCAAACCGAAAGACGTATTTAATGATGATACTGGTTTTTTAGGGCCCTACGAAGTCACTCTCCCTGCGCAGGGGAAAATGTGAGGGCAGTGAGAAGTCTAAAGAACGATTGACTGTTTTCCTGTGAGGCAATACGGCAGGAAAACTATAAAATCTTATTTTGATAGGCAAATCAGTTAGACCCCGTTGCTTCAGGCATCTTGATACAAATGAACTGACAGAAGTTTGGAGATCGAACAAGAAGGCTTGGATGACTGCTGCATTAATGAAGGAATGGCTCAAGAGTTTCAATGCAGACATGAAAAACCAAACACATCAAGTGCTGATATTTCTTGATAACGCCACATGCACCTACACATTAATTTGTCTAATGTAAGCTTGGCATAATTTCGCCCGAACACTACCACACTCACACAGCCCATGGATCAAGGAGTGATCTATACACTCATAAGTCACTATCAAATACTGGTTCTACAGGCATTAGTAGCGAAAATGGAAGGTGCAAGCAGCTCCTCTAAGATAGGAAATGGAGAATTACTCCGAAAGCGCAAAGCCCTCAACGCCACCCAAGGGGCTTGGAGACGCGTTGCAACAATGAGGTCGCAAAAATGTTTTAAAAAAGCTGGCTTCAAAGAAGTATCAGATGTCGCAAGAGTTCCTCGTCAGTACCTACTTCTAAACCTACGTCTCGTAAATGACGTTCTCGATGAGGACTGTTGGCAAGCATGTGAGCATGTGCAGTGTGGTCAAGAGCGCCCCCGCAACCCGTCTTGGAGTCCACAGTCTTTAGCACGTGAGCACTGGGATTCCCAGACCTTGTACTTAAAGAAGAGGAGGAACTTAAGGAGGCGATGACGAAGCTTTGGGAGAGGGGATACATAAGCACCCAAAGAGAAGTCAGAGATGCAACAGTCGGTGTCAAATCACCGTCGGCCGAAACCTCGTATCTTGCACATAGTTGGTGGTGAGAGGTCAATGACCTCTGTTATAGACAAGGAATATTTTTCGGTCTATCTCATCCATGGAGGTGACAGACACCTTCTGGAAAGCACATGGTAAAACACGTGTGACGTAGTGAAATAAGAAATAATTTCAAACAACAAAATAAAAATAGTATATTAAAGATTATGTATAAGTTACAATAAATTGCTAATATTAAAACACTCCGGCAACCTTTTCCTTTCAGAACACTGCTTTACCGCAGAAAAATACAAGCCACGCGTGATGCGAGCTGTCGGACATCCGTCCCGTGACAATTACCGTCACATGGCCTGACGCCAAAATTTAACCCGGTCGTGGCGACCGTGTGCCTACAGCACGCGAGATCGTCTGGCCCTTACTCTCCGGACATCTCGCCCACACTCCTACCCTCCTTGTACATACACGTACAAGCTTCCCGATGCAAACTGAATGAGAGCGCGGGCGCAGATGGCGCCGCGTTAAATAGTTGAGGCTGACACCCCCCACCACTGGTCCATAGATAGGCTCGCTGGCCAGCAGCTTGGTTTACGCCCACACACAGGATTCTCAGGTTGGCTCGCCTGCTTAACCGTAAGCGAGGCTCGCTGGCTAGCATCCTCGGAGTTTACAGCCTACGGTTATTTTTGGCTCTGCGGCTCTACCTGAGTCTGCCAGAGCGCAAACCGCCAGTACCGCCGTACCGCCAGAGCGCAAACTCCCGGAAGTTCAGGCTCAACCCCTTCCTCCCCCGCAGCGCACTTTCACCGACCTAACGGTTCTGGCCCTCGTGTTAACGACGCCACACACGAAAGGTACAGACGGAAGAGCGAGATATACTTGAGGAAGACTCTTTTAACGTTTTTTTTTCTTTCTGTTGCTGAGACGAGAATGGTGGTAGAGTTCAGGAGCTCCTCCCGCCGCCACCTTAAAATGACTGTATCTTCTTTAATTTTCTGATACACGCGAAAATTTAGATTGAAGTATTAGGTGCTAACGAGATACAAACGATATATCATGTTTCCAATTTTTTTCAATGGTGGCGGTGCCAGTGTGAAGTTGGCACTACCACAATAGAAAGTGCTGTATGTTGGAAGCGGTATTGATACAAACGAATGTAATTGTGGTACAAACGGGTACAAACGAATGGTAATGGTTTCAGTGGTTTTCGCTGTGGTGCCAACTTCACGGACATTACATCCACATAGGGACAGGAGTTGCCTACTTTGAAAGGAATACGAAACGCCGGAAGCACCGTGTGGGCCGACTTGTCAAATGTTAAGGCCCATTCACAATGCAAACGTAAACATAAGCATAGCCAGACATAAACATTAACATAAGCGCTAGACTGAAGTATTTACAATGACTAACATAAACGTTAAGCAAAATAGATTTTGTATTGGCTGTGAGACATTCTAGTTTACTATTGGTCGGATGTGAGAATCGATTTCGAGGTATCGACTGTGTCCGTGGCCCATACGGCGTTAGTTCTTCTATCGAATTTGCTCCGATTTCGATTCTCGATTTTGAGTTACCGCTCTGTGATTGGTTCATTTCTTATATCTTACTTAAGCATAAGCACAGAAGCTTGAAGCTTGCAAGCTTTTAAGTAATGTATTACGTGTTACTTTGCTTATGCGAACGCATTGTGAATGAGTCCGCTTATGGACGTAGTCCTAACTTTTATGTTAAAGCCATGCTTATGTTTATGTTTGCATTGTGAACAGGCCTTTAAGCTGACAGCTCGACTTCGGAGCGGTTGGGCGCAGCGTTTTCATGTCACATTGTTAGACGTGGGTGGCATATCCGAGAAACGTTTCTTGGAGCGGAGAGGATAAATTTTCGTATCATTTTCCTTTATAGTAGTTTTAAGTTTTTACACTTATTTATCATCATTCGGTAGAAATATAAATATTTTAGAATATATTTGAAATTTAAGGTGAAATGGTTTTAAACAATTTAAATAATTGTGTCTGTTAATAAATTATTGTGTCCATTAATCGGAAAATATTGGAGAGGGAGACCATTGCTTTTGCAATACCTTCAAATTTAACTCACCCACCGCCGCTGGTGGTAATAGAATGACAGACGTTCTCGTAATAGTTTTCAAATTTCATTGGTCTGGGATTGTTTTTCGATCTTGCCCCGTCCTGTTGCCAGCTGCCATCTGGCGTCACCCAAAGAACTTTAAGATTAATATTATTATTATCATTATTTTTAATATAATTTATCTCTTGCAGATTTCATAAAATAAAATACGGAGAACATTATACCCTTAATACTTAAATACAGTCAGACATAGAACACAATGACTGAGTTCGTAGATACAGAGACAGAAGAAACGAGATGGCAATGAGTTGGACAAACAGATAGAAGCTAGAAAAGCTAAAAAGAATCAACACCACCCTGAAGTAATGCTAACGCGGTCCCGGGGTGGAACTATGTTGATTGGTAGGGTTTGTGAGTTTAGTGAATAAGTCTCACAGTACTCGGTGAGCGCGGAACCTCGTTGGGTCTCCATGATGGATTCTCACAGTCTCACTCGTAAAAAAAATATTTATTCTCAATTACAAAATGGTACATAAAACACCGTGCTTCGACCAAAGCAAGAAACATAAGGCTATAGTGATTAATTACTAATATAACATTACAGTTACTAATATTACATTTTACGTTTTTGCATTTTTAGACAAAATAAATAAAAAAGAAAATATATAAAACTTTAAAATACACTCACTAACAATTATTTATTTTTTATTTGTACTTTTGGCTTTGTTCATGTTCTAGTTCAGTAAATGTTCCCTAAACTCATGGGTCACTTTCATATTCTAGTTCTTTACCATGAAGTTTCTCACTAAATGACAAGTATCCAGTATCACAGACTTCTTATTATCATTAATGTTCTAGCTACTTTCAGTACTTCCAGTTGAGATTTGTAGCTTAGAGTATTATTCCTGTGGCCGAGATTA